GATCATTACAGAAAAACAAAAATGTAACAAATCAGGAAAAGTTCTTAACAGCTTTGCACATTAAAGGAGTTATTTTAATCATTTTAACTTCAAAAATCTGCTTGTAGATTAGAACTATTACAATTAAATCAAATCAGTAACGCTTAGTTATGGACTAGTAGAGTTATAAGTCAAAAATGTCAATAAATCAAAATAATGTTTGTGGAAAAGAAAATAATGCTTCAAAATTGTATTATTATTTTTACCTAAATGCTAATATAACCTGAGATTGACAACAGCTGTCTATAGAAAGCATATTTGTTCTACAATCATCATACTGAGACTGATTTTAAATGGCAAACCACATGACTGAAATTTCTGATTTAGATTTTGGGTTTTTCTGCTTCTTTCCTATCTGACTAGTTTGTTTTTCATAACACCTAACTCAATAAGTCCCAAAGTATTCAAAAACTTGCTAATAATCTGGCACCAATTTGGTTTGTTCTAGTAACAAATAAATAAATAAATACTTCCTTACTAAAGATCCTGTGATTTTTTTTCCCCATTAACCAACTCATTTGATTTGTTTATAATTAACAGGTATGTTAAATAATGTTCAGACACTTTCTCCACTAGTCCTCCTATTTTATTATAATACACATTCAGACCCAATTTGATTACCTGGTAAACAAAACATATAGTCGGGGCCTGGCAGCCATAGAGAAATTTCACATCAATAACTTGCAGCTCCTCTAGTCGAATATTAAAGGCCTTTAATTCTTTATTTTCTCGCTCCAAAGGAATCACCTTGAATAAGCCATCATAAAGCCTTAATCCAATCATTCTGCACTCTGGGTCAATTATGCCAATTATACCTGTTTCCGAGGGACGACCAATACGATCCTAGAGGACAACACATAAATATTCTTAGTACAATCTCTTTTGTCACAAAAAGAAAACATGCAAGGTTAAGTCTTCTAAATCCATTAATTTGGTGTTTGTGCATTAGCCAACAGTTGATTCACTCATGATGAATATTGTAATTTATGCTAATGTATGTTGTTCATGTACACCTAGATTTTCAATCAGCAGTCATTTTTCTTTTTGGTGTATCTGTCCTTATCTTGTAATTACTATGAATCCTTTACTGCCATTTCAAAAACACAGTAAATAACTCATGGATCCCAGATGACAAGGCTATGTATATATGCATTTATATATTTAAATCTACAATTTCAATTATATATTATATTGGATATGTAGTTCCTACATATGTATACTTGGAAAACACATGTTTGATTTTCATGCTTTAGCAGAAATAGTTTTAGCAGCTTGATAGGGAAAAAAAATCCGATTTTACAGAAGTAATGAATGTAGAATTTTTCTTTTCCCTTTTAAAAACTAACAGGATACATGCTATTTTAACAGGCTTTTATAAAAAGAAAGTCTATTATGACTTTCTTTTTAACAGCCCAAGATGAAGATCTTAAAGTTATAAGCAAGCAGGATTTATACTATATAGTCCTCTCTTAACGACAGCTGTTTTGCAACTGTTACAATGATGCTGAAAAACTACCATCAGATCTCATGACTGTCATACCTTCTCTGGGGGTTACATGATCCAAACTGAGATGCTTCGCAACTGGCGGGTGTTTACAACCACTACAACATCCTGCAGTGACATGGTTGCGATTTGCACACTTCACAGCAGCTTCCAATAGTAGAGTCAAGGAAGAAGCCAGCAGTAAAATCACAAATCACAGACATGTCTTGATGAATAACCACCATAGAGGCGATGTCATAAGGCCATCACAATCATGTGATGTCTCATAATACACTTAACAAATGTATCACGTAGCAGTTGTCAGTCCCAATTGTGGTAATTAAGCAAGGATTACTTATACTATAAGGCTTGTATATGTACACTGTTGCTTTCATTGGGTTTTGAGGCTTTGTGAAATTATATCTCAAGAACACATATTCTGGGAAGCTTGCTACCCTTTGAAAAATAATATTCTAAACTAGCTAAAATGCAACTTAGGAATAAAGGCAATTATTAATTTTTACATGACAATAGTATTTAAATACTATTTAAAAGTAGTTTTTTTAAAAAAAAATAATTAGAATGCTCCTAGCCTTTATATAATCACAAGAGGTTCCTAATACTACTTATAAGTATTAATCATTCTCTGCCAGCTATGATAAGCACATATTTTCTCCAGTCTTGAAGAAGAAGTAGGCTATTACCCTCACAGAGAGTGGATGGCTTCCAGGAACTTCAGAAGGATAATGTAAAATAAGTAATCTCATTTGAATTTGGAGCTGGAAGGTGAATGGTGGGGTAGGAGCAACTGAAACATAATTAAACTTTTAATATAATTCCCTCCTTCCTCCAAACATGATAAATGACTGTGTTTTTAAGTACTACAGAGAAGGGTAGTGCAATTATAAAAATAATCCATTCCCCCAGAGTCACATTTGGATGGAAGGGAGAGAGAACTGGGGAGTCTGAGTTTCAATTAGTACAATTCAAAATTGGAAGAAAAGAAATAAGGACAGATTTCTTCAGTTACTAAAAATAGCTTACATTTTTAAATGTTGACCCTTTATTTTTCCAAGAGAAGGACTTTAAATAAAACTGAATGCTGAAAATAAAAGTCCTATTAGGTCAGCTAGATGTCAGATAAATTCAACTACCTGGTTTTAGTGATCAATTAGATGCCTTTGGGGAGTGTAAAAGCAGGCAACTCACCACTTGAGGGATTTTTGCTGTATATAAAAATGGCTTGTTTGTAAGTTACCTTTATACAGAATAGTAATGTTTTATGGAGAACAAGAATCTAGCAACTGAGAGAGTGTAAAAGCTTTTTTTTCTTGAAACCTATTCAATGAGAGTTTGTAGAACACAAGTACACAAGAATATAAAATAGCTGTCTGAACTAACAAGGCTACTGAGATCTCATAATGACAAATATATTTTTAACTGCACATCACTAGAAAGAAATAAAGACTTAATGGAAAAGTAGAAAGAATTTAACAGTGTCCATCAAATAGTTTGTCAACAGAAAGACAAGTATTGCTTCTCAAATTGCAATATTAATTTCAACTTACATAAATATTTTACATTACTTCACTTGGAATATAATCTAAAACTTCAAACTCAGATTACAAAATATACAGAAAACTGCTGTGTGATCCTGAATTACAAAGTACCTATTACACTTAATGCACTTTCCTCTTACCTGCACATTGCCATGGGCTCTGGTGATGATGTCAATGCTCTCTCCACTTTGTTTATACTCAAGAATGCAAGCATTATATTTTGCTGTCAAAATAAAGAGTAAATCCTTGCTTTCCCCCTAAGGAGGGAAAAAAAGTTTTAGCTAGAAAAGAAAAAAAAACTCAATATTCTGCAACACACTAGCAACAAAATATTATTCCATTTGGAAAAGGTGTATCTCAAATGAGAAATGTCTGAAATAGATGCTTTTGCTCATCACAACTTCCTGTTCTGTATTAAGCATTTTCTTCTGTAAATGCACATAAATGATAAGCTCTTCCAAAAGTATATTTAATCAGCAAGTATATTAATTAGTTTCTTGTGAACACTATATGAATTCATCAAAGAACATGAGAAGCATCACAGATGTTGATGTTCAAGAGACTTTCAGGAAACAGATGCAAACATTTTACCTCAAATGTTATTCAAATGGCCAGGCCAGACAACATAGCTATTTTTCAAAGACTTACAAAAGTTGGTTGAGAAGATTACTATTGAAAACAGCAACATACATATGTCTTTTCCTTCAAATATTAGCCCTAAAAAAGAGCAAGTTCTCAGTTTTGTTGATCTCAGCAGCAATCAGGCACAACATACTTGAGTAATGGCAATTTTCCAAGTCATGACCAAATCAAAAATGAATCAATCAAAAATGAAGCACCCAGAAAAAAATACTCCGTCCACATGACAGGTCCACACAATTAGCTCACAACAGACTGATTGTGTGCAATCATCACAACGTGCTAAATTCCAGCAGACCACCAGTCCTAAAAATAAGCCTTTGCATACCTGAACGTTTCAAAGATACCTTCACAATATCAACAGAATATCGGGCTGAAATTTAACAAAACAATAACCCTCCACCTGGCTAGCATGCCACAAGGCCAGGTTTCTACCGAGTTCACATTCCCCAAAGATCCACAATGACTGGGGTTTTAGCAGCCATGAGGATCGGAACCAGTAACACTTGCCGGTCGAACCAGAAGCCAACCCAATCTGTTGCAGGAGTTCCTTTCTGGACAGAGAGCCGTAAGGGATCGAGGCCTACCCTGCCCAAGGAGAAGGGTGCCCAACGGCCGCACTGTCCTTCGGGAGGAGGCGATGCTCACCTTGGGCCGAAAGAGCTCCATGACCGCGATCTTGCCGTACATGCCCACCTCCTTGACGGGCCGCAGCCCTTCCGCGGTGACCACATAGATCTCAAGGCGGGTGTTCTTGGCGATCAACAAGTTGAGGTCCTCCGCGGAGGTGAAGTGACCTGAGGCGAAGAGAAAAGGCCGCGAGGTGAGGGCAGTCTGACTGGCAGAGCCCAAAGCCGGAGGGGCACGCAGCCCCGCGGCCTCCTCCGTTCATCCTTCCCCGCCACAGCGCTCTCCGCCGCCCGCTCGCCTATCCCGGGAAAGGCCCCTCTTCCCACCATTACCAGTGACGCAGCTGTTGACGGCCGTGGGCTTCTGCGCGGTGACCACGTAGTTGCACGACATGGCGAGGCCGGGGGGGGGGGGGAGAGAGACGGACGACGCGGAAGGCGAGGACTCTGGCAGTGTCGAGCGCAGCCTTCAGGGCCCACTACTGCCTCCGGCACCAGTGAGAAACCGCCAGCACCAGAGCGCCGGCGTCCCGCTTCGCGCGGTGCACGACGGGAAACGAGCACGCCGACAGGATTACGGACCTTTGTACCAGCGCGAGAGTGCCCTCTTCCGGCCCGAACGGAGTAAGCGAATTTTGGAGGACGGATGTTGCCCTTATCCCATGCGCGTGCGCGCACGCACCTACCAAAACCCGTTTATTGTGTGAGCGAGCTGGAGGGGGGAAGGGGGGCCCAAAATGCTCATAACATGTTAACGCATCGTCCTTTGGGCTCCAGCTCTCCTGTTCCTTCCTTAGCGGTGCGTCGCCTTATTCCGAGTACGTGCGCGACGCGGCGACCCCCACGGCCAACTGCCAGAGCTCGCGCTGTGCTCTACCAATGAGCTTCTTCCTCCCCTCCCTGGCAGGCGGGCGCGCGTGTGTTTCATTCTCTGGCCCAGCGCAACATTTGTATTCCTGGTCAAAGTCCGTGGAGGGTCCTCGTGAGCTCAGCTCGACCTCCTTTTCGATCCCTTCTGTCGGAAAGGGTGGAATAAAAGGTGGTTCTTATTGTGGCGACCAGGTAGTTTGCTGGCTTCTACAACTGAAACTTGGGACATCATGCAGGTGAGACCTGATATTTTGGGGTGAAGGAGAAGACGGGGATGCTAAAACATATGGAGGCTAAAACATACGAAGAACGGTGACAGGAACTGGGTATGTCTAGTCTAGTGAAAAGAAGGACTTGGTGGGTGGGGGGATGACATGATAGCTGTATTCCAATATTTGAGGAGGGTCAACCTGTTTTCCAAAGCACCAGAAGGTAAGATGAGAAACAATGGATGGAAACTAATCAAAGAGAGAAGCAAGCTAGAACTAAGGAGAACAGTGAGAGCAATCAACCAGTGGAACAGCTTGGCTTCAGAAGTTGTGAGTGCTGGGCAACCATTTGTCTGGAAAGGTACAGGGTCTCCTGCTTGAGCAGAGAGTTGGAATAGAAGACCTCTAAGACCGCCCTTCCAACTCTGTTTATTATTCTATGTTTTTGTCCAGGAATTCTCAGTCTTCTTTTGCTCATGGTCCCCTTCTGAGCCTCATCACCTCTGGACCCCTTTCTTAGCATTAGTATAAAAAAGGCTTCACTATCTGAATTATCTCATATTTGGCCCCTAGAAAAATGGCACAGCTCCCCTGGAGTTATATGGTCCATGTTGAGAACCATGCTTTAGCAAGTCTTTCCTTTGAGTAGTGTATAAATTAAAATGCCAGAAGTATTAGAATGACTAGAAATCCAGCTCATCTGGTGCACTTGATGGATACATTGGCACTTGAATTTCTGGCTGTTTCCAGTACAGTATTCTGCTTTGTCTGCTCTTCCAATATTAATGAAAATGTTTGTAGCAGTTATTCTTAACTGTTAAACTGCAAAACAATAAGGAAACTGGCAGCGAGAGGCAATATTAAAGCAATTAGATTAGAAGATGATGGATAGAAAACAAATGAGAAGGAGACCTAAGAAGGTAAAATAAAAATGGAATGAAGCAAAGTGGGGCTGACCATACAATGAACAGGAAGATACAATATTGCAACAATTTGTTGTCAGTCTCACCTTATGTATAAACATTAACCAACAATTACAAAACATTTGGAAATCTGTAACACAAGAACAGAATACCATTATCAGTGACTATCCAAGTCGTATGTTTGCTTGAATAATAGCATTTTGACCAGTTGTATAAAAGTAATCAAAAAAACCACATGCTTCACAAGCCAACTATTATAAAATTTAGGACACATTTTGTATTTTTTTAAATTGTGCAACTGAACTACTTGACATTATTAGAATGGAGCTCTGTTTCCTCCCTTATTGCCAAATTACCAGCCAGCAGGAAAACATTCAACAATCACTCTCCTTAAGATGACTACGAAGGAGATGAGTTTGGGCCAACGCTAGGACACTGTGTTTAGCCATCTATCAAATTAGTTCTGGTTTTGTATGGGTGCATTCAAAGGAAGTCTGACTATCATCTGATATTGAATAGCACAATAATGCTAAACCCATGCCTGAAATAGATGATTAGCCTTTGGACACAGATCTGGCATTATTCCAGACGAATACCAAAGCTGTTTTCAAATCAACCTAACAATTTAAAATGTGAAGAGGATTGTTCCATGAAGCAGCCATGAGAGAAAAACAGCTCGCTCCATGCAATTCCTACACTGACATCACCAGTCAGTTGCTGTTCACAATGGTCCAATTTTTGGAGCCAGAAAATAGCTTGGAGACCAGGAGATACAGAGTGAAGATTGAGATTGGAAAATTAGATACTTCAGCCGTTCAAAGCAGATTGATCCTGGGAGACATTGCTCAGGAAACAAAGGGGAGAGCTTATGCTGGGCGATCTCATCCCCTAGAGGTCTGTAACCCCAACTAAATCATTAGCAAATTGCATCAGATTGCACCCATTGCAAAATTGGCATGGCTTGTTGCCAGCTTAAAAGGGCAAACACTACAGAATAGCTAAAGCCATTTAATTTGCCCAATTGATGCATTGGGGACCAGATGAACATCTGTAATGTCATAGGCAAGGAAGGAAAAAGTTATTGGATAGATATACAACACTGCTGTGGCTGGATTTACATTTTCCATGTTTGTTAACTGGACTCATACACCATTACATAATTATGGTTTCTATAATACAGTAGCTGAGACCATATGACTTTCTATATACCAAAACCAAAAACCCATATTATGACATAGCGTGATATGCATACTATCAGCCGTTTAAGTTGGCCAGGTCAAGAAAGAGACTCACTAGGATTACTATACGCCGCCCTGAGTCCCTAGGGATTGGGCGGCATATAAATTTTATTAATAAATAAATAAATATAAAGTCCTTATGTTTAAGAACAAAATCTTGAAAACCTGACAAAGTCTCTCCCCCTCCATTCTATCTTATACCAAAGAGAATCAAGGCATAGTAAACATGAGTTTTCTTTCCCCTCCCCCTTTTCAGACCATGCTAATGTTTATGTGATAGCTGCTAAATACTTTCTTCAAAGCTGTCTCTGTACTAATTTATGGCTACATGCATTATTTCTAGTGTGTGCATAAATTGTGAAACATTTTCTGTATAAAAATGTGTTTCAAACATTCTGCCGATCTAGATAGAGAGTAATTTAGTAGAACCAGAACATTTTGACTGTCCTGGATTTTAGTCAAGACAAAATCCAGAGTTATTAAGCATGGAAAGACTGATGAACTTTGTATCTTACTCTTCAACACAGCCTATGTGTTCATCAGCCCAATAATTTTCCTAACTCCTTCATTTTCCATTTAGCCATTGCAATCATTGCCTTCAGTTTCAAGTGTGGCAACATTTGTCCCTCTCCACCCCACCATCTTTGGATGTACCATGCTTGTAGCTAAAATATTGGTGGCTAAGGGGAAGAAGAAAAGTGCTGGGAAGGCTAATAGGCTGGTGGGCCAGTTGGATATGCTGTGCTTGCGACATTGGCAGTGGCTTTTTCCTATTCTCTGTGAAGCATCTGTACTAGAATAATAGTAGTTTGAATCTGTTTCCACTCCAACACTTGAATTTTAGTTCAGAAACAGATCATCCGACCCTACCTGTTCCATGCACAGAACCCTTTGCACATCGGTATTTGTTTTCCCTTAAAAGCATTTAAGATTTAATTGTTTCAGTTGCACAATATATCATGCAATTATGGCACGGTATGATCTGCCACAATTCTAGTGGCAAAAAGCAGTTATCGCCCCTTCCAATAATCACAGGTTACTCACCAATCAATAGTTGGCAGGCTGCAGGATACTACCTTGCAGGAGAACAAAATAATTGTATTTTAGCCTCTATTGGCAACTCTGTAATTTTGAGAGCCTTTGTGAGTGGAAATAGTAAGCTGCTTCCTTTTTATTTCCACAAATTGCAATTTCAATAACAAATTGAATTTCACTTAGAAATAATTGTGAGGAAATAATTGTGAGGTGGAATTCTGTGGGTAGTTCTTTCTCCATATCTTGCACAGCAGGAAAATATAGAAGAGAATGTTTGGGAAGTTAAAGTAGCACTGTCTAAAAGGAAAGATTGCAGTGTTAAGGGATATTAGTTTAAAATGAAGGTGAATGAGATAAAGATAATGAGTAGTATTGAAAATGGGATAGAGATAATAGTTTCTCTCTCTCAAAATAATAGATTTTAAATCATCCATTAAAATGAATGCAGAAAGTTCTAGTTATTAAAAATGCAGTATTAATTTAAAAATGTAGAATTAAACTGTGGAATTTGCTGTAATCAGATAATATGGCCAGCATTGTAACCATTTTAAAATAGAACTAGGCAAGTTTATTGAGAAAAGATTCATTTGTCTTGATGGCTCCTGGCTACCTCCTGAATGTCAGACTATGTGCTTTACCAGCTGCCAGTATCAGAAGAAAACTAACCATCTGTGTTCATGAGCTTCTGACATATTTCTGCTTGGATTTATGGGTATAGAATGTTGTACCTGATGGGTTGGCCTGATCTAGCAGGGCTCTTGTGTTCCTGTAAATGCAATTATCTTGAATGTGGGGAAAGGAAGTCTTGTTGGATATTTGTGATTATTGTGGAATCCATGTTGACATGGACGTGTGCAGAATCAAACATCTCTACTTCATACCTTGCCTATGGATAGTCCCTAAGATCTTGACTGAATTCAAATTCAAGTGATAAAATATCTGAATTTTTTCTATCCTAAAATAATTTCCAAGGTTTATGTGTGTGTATTAATAAGCAGCTGTGTAATGTTTTGTTTTTAGTAGTTCAAAGGAGAATCATGATTCATTTTGACATCTAAATAAATGCGTTAATCTTTAAAGCTGCTACACATTTGGAATTGCTTTCTCTAAAAGGACAAATATATGTGAATTCTTTTGTTATGTCTCATTCTTTTAGGGCTCAAAGAAACTAGTGAACACAATTCTGAGTTGTGCGGATGACTCATTAGCCGGAATAGTGGCATGCAATCCTAATCTTCAACTTCTAAATGGACACAGAGTGGCACTACGTTCTGATTTAGAGAATATAGAGGGCAAAGTTGCACTTATTTCTGGAGGTGGATCAGGGCATGAGCCTGCACATGCAGGTTAGTAGGATGGGGTTCTGGAAAGTTTTTCAGTCCTGAACACAAAAGGGTAAGGGCTTGGACTGGGATTCATTTGGCTGATTTATGTTGAGTCATCAGTAGACTCGTAGAAAAATCAAAATACGAGATACTCCAAGTGTAGATAAGATGCCATCCTGTCTATTATTTTTCCACAGGATACATTGGAAGAGGAATGCTCACTGCGGTGGTCGCTGGTCCAGTGTTCACTTCCCCTGCAGTGGGTAGCATTTTAGCAGCAATTCGGACTGTGAAACAAGCCGGAGCAGGTATGGTAGCATTTTTGGTGGACTGACATTCCATCTGGATAAGAAACAGAAGACAAATTTAATTCTTTCTTTTATAGTTGGGACATTACTAATAGTGAAGAACTATACAGGAGACCGCCTGAATTTTGGGCTGGCATTGGAACAGGCACAGGCAGAAGAAATTTCTGTGCAGATGGTTATAATTGGTGATGACACTGCCTTTGCCACCAAGAAGAAGGCTGGCAGGAGAGGTCTATGTGGCACAATGCTTGTACATAAGGTAAGTGTCATCCATCTTTAATCAGAAGGCAAATGTTGTCTTTGGCTATGCTTTCATTTGTACAAGAGCCATCTCAAACTACACATTCTTTTGAAGTACTTTGTCTTATTTGTGCTTGCTATTCATTGCATGCAGACTTTCAGCATCAGTATTTGGTGACAGACCACTAAGTTTAGTTTTGAGAATATGGAGAAAACTTTGTAAACTTCTGTGTAGATTTAAAGATAGAGACTATTCAGAAAATATACGTAAAACATTTTTAATTTGATTGTTTCTGCTGATGTTTCTTAATGGTTACAAAAATTCATACATTTTTAGCACAGACTTTCTTATTTTTAATTTATTGAAGTATTCGGAAGAACAGAATAATGACTAAAGAAAAAAGAAAAATAATGGATAAAGAAATAAATTATCAATAAATAAACAGAGTTGTACAATTGTTGTGACATTTAAAATACAGTATTTCCTTAATTGTATGTAACTGAGTATATCATATCATTTAAAAGATTATATCATATCATGTAAAAAAGATGTTGAGACTCTAGAACAGTGGTTCTCAACCTTTTTAATGCCACGACCCCCAACCAGTCGTAAGTCGAGGACTAACCAACCGGTCGTAAGTCAAGGACTAACCAACCAGTCGTAAGTCAAGGAGTTTCCCTGCCCGGGAGTGCCGCGCATGCATGGTGCTGCCCTCTGCGCTGGCTGGGGCGTAGCTGGCAAGCGGCAGAGACGGCGCAGGCCAACCACCGGCTGGGCCACCAGCTGGCCCAGCCCAAGGGAGGTAAGGCACCCGCCGGGCCCCACGCGCACCAGCAACCCTCCCTGCACCCGCCGGCCTCCCACCTCCCACCCCTGGCCCTCTTTTACTTACATTTTTAGTAGTTGCTCAGCAGGGAGGGGTAGAAACTTCCAGACAGCTCGCCTTCGCTGCAGACAACTTGCAGCACCGTTTGCAGAATGGGACTTTTGGCGGGCTCAGCAGGGCAGAGACAGCTGGACAATTCCTATTGGCTTTTGAAAGCCAATAGAATTAGACTCTATTCAAGAGAGTCTATTCTATTGGCTTTCAAAAGCCAATAGAATAAAAGGGAGTAGCATAGCTAAGGAAAAGGGGGGGGAAAATGGCAGACTGCGTTGTTTGGCGACCCCCGTGAAATGGTCGTTCGACCCCAAATGGGGTCCCGACCCACAGGTTGAGAACCGCTGCTCTAGAAAGAGTACAGAGAAGAGCAACAGAGATGATTAAGGGACTGGAGGCTAAAACATAAGGAACGGTTGCTGGAATTGGATATGTCTAGTTTAATTAAGAGAAGGATGAGGGGGGACATGATAGCACCAATATCGCAGGGGCTGCCGCAAAGAAGAGGGAGTCAAGCTATTTTCCAAAGCACCTGAAGGCAGGTCAAGAAGCAACCGATGGAAACTAATCAAGGAGAGAAGCAACCTAGAACTAAGGAGAAACTTCCTGACAGTTAGAACAATTAATCAGTGGAACAACCTGCCTCCAGAAGCTGTAAATGCTCCAACCCTGGAAGGTTTTTAAGAAGAGACTGGACAGCCATTTGTCTGAAATGGTATAGGGTTTCCTGCCTGAACAGGGGATTGGACTAGATGACCTCCAAGGTCCCTTCCAACATCATCATCATTATTGTTGTTATTATTATTATAATTGAAAATCTGAAAACAGGATATTACTATAACCAACTATTATTACTTTGAAGATAAATGCACATAATCATATTTTTTAAAAAAAATCACGTGGTTGTCTAGTAATGTTTTATTTAGTTTTGTATTTCATCTACTTTTTTATGAGCTCTTTTTTGTCTGAATAAAACTTCTTCATATAATACATATACACATCATGCTATTTTCTTTCAACATTGTACAAAGCACAGAAAAAATAAGAAGTAATAAGCAATGAAATTGGAGGCAAGATACATTGGAAAGGAAAAAGAAAATTTAATTTAATTGCACTAATTACATTTTTACATTTTAAAACAACTTTAAAAATTATAATGGGTTTTTGCTATATATTAAATTACAACTCTGCACATATGTAATAGGAAAAAGGTTTTTATGAATTTAATGTATTATTTATTTATTTCAAACTACATTGAAACAGTCCCAAGAGGCAATATGTGGAAGTAAAGCCCATTAAATAAATCCATTTTTTTAAACAAATGTAATCCTTAAAAGAGAAGCATTCTATCTTGGAATTATTAAATTTTCAGACTACAAATTATTATACTCTTGGAGAGATAAAGTGTAGAGATTTCAAATAAGTTCTAGCAGATGGTACTTTCACTGAATCACAGCCTAACACTTTATTCACAAAGATTTTCCTTCTGTTTTAGAAGAGAAGCATCACATACTCTTTTGGGTACAGAATTGAAATGTGACATGTTACAACCATTATGTTTGGGGGTTCCATGTAATATTTTTTCCTGTTTATATTTAGGTGGCTGGAGCATTGGCTGAGGCAGGTATCGGTCTGAATGAAATTGTTCGTAGAATTACTGCTATTGTAGGAGCAATGGGTACGTGTTCACTTCCCTTTTCTAGAATAAGTCTCTGGACTGAATGTAAATCATCTATCTATCTATCTATCTATCTATCTATCTATCTATCTATCTATCTATCTATCTATCTAAACTGGTCCTATGATATATAGGGCTGTATAAGTGTGATCAGCAGCTTGAATTGGACCCAGAAGCTTGCTGGTAGCCAGTGCAGCTCTCAGAGCAGTGATGTTATATGTGTGTATCAAGAGATGCCAAAAACTCCCCATGCTGCTATATTCTGAACCAGCTATAGTCTCCAAATGATCTTCAAGGGTAGCCCCAACCCTGCCTGACACCCAGTGACTCTGGGTAGTACATATAAATCTAGAGAGTGTATTGCAATAATTCAAGCAGGAGGTTACCAATACCTAAATCACCATGATCAAGGCCTCCAAAAATGGGTGCAACTGTTAACAAGACAAACCTGTGCAAAAGCTCCATTAGCCATAGCTGCCACATATTTTTCAAGCAGGAACCATAAGTCCAAAAGTATTTCCAAACTGCACACTAGCTCTAACTGGGGAAGTACACCTGCAGGCAGGGTTAAATATGGAAAATCTCCAGAGCTCGGTGGCCTTAAAAACCACAGCTACTCAAGGTTGACCCAAAGCCCGTTCTCCTTCATTGTCACTCTCAGCCTCCAGGTATCAGAAGAGGACATCAGTGGCATTGCTTGTCAGTCTAAAGCAGAAATTAAAGCAAACTGATGATACTGTACCCACATTGACAGATGATCTCTCCCAGTGGCTTCATTTAGATTTAAATAGAAGTGGGCAGAGAATAGAGCTTTGAAGCATCCCATAAAGTGGGGGCTTCCAGTTCAAGCTGTTCTCCTTTGTAAGCATCAAGTGGAACTGGTCTTGGAGAAAGGAAGAGAACTATCGTAATACAGTGCCTAGCACTCCTAATCTCCTAAATCAGTTATGGCGAAACTTTTAGAGACGGAGTGCCCCAAAACCGCCCCCGCCCCCACCTTGCATCTCCTGCACTACCCCCTGCTCTGAACACCCTCAGGGCCACTCACCACCTTCACAACTCGATCGCCCAGGTGGCCCAACAGCGCCATGGCAGCTACAACCTCCACCCGCGCCCCGCAGTATCAACTGTGTGCGACAGGATGCAAGGGCAGTCTTGTCCCTGCTGCCTGGCTGCCATGTCCTTGATTGCGCTGCTCCGTGCAGGCCACGCTCAGGGGTGACTCTCCAGGGGGGCTGCTGATGAAGGGACCGTGGGGGGAGGCGGGGCTGAGGTGATGGCGGCACATGCCCACAGAGAGGGCACTGAGTGCTACCTCTGGCACGCATGCCATAGGTTCGCCACCACTGTCCTAAATCATCCCTGAGGGATAGCATGAAGGTAACTGAGAGACCAAGGAGGACCAGGATGGATGCCCTATCTCCATCTGTAACCTGCCAAAGGCTATTGACATGTCCAGTCAATGCCATCTCAGTACTGTGGTCAAACATGAATCCTGATTGAAAGAGGTCCAGATAATCTGCTTATTCCAGAGCTTTCTGGAATGATAAGACAGCTTTCTTCTCAGAAACCTTCCCCCCAAAAGGAAGATTGGCTACAGAACAGAAATTGCCCACATCTGTTGGATCAGAGATGGCTTCTTAAGGAGGGGATAGACAATCACCTTTTTCACTATACATGGAACCTCTCCCTCTTTCAGGTGAGTTCACTATCATCTGGACCCAGCTGTCTATTACTTCCCAAGAGAGCTAAATCAGCCAGGAGAGACAAGAATCTAAAATTCAGATAGCTAAATTCATAGCACTAAAGCCTTGTCTATACAGTATTAACAGGGCATACAGAGTCAAATTCTGCCCATATAACCAGGCAAGATTCCAGTTCCAAGTGAATCCAAGTGACTTTATCCAACTGAAAGTATTCCCACGGTCCCTCCTTACCTAGGTGGGGACGTGATTGCAGATGCTATACTGTAAGGACAGCTATAACTACATTCAATTGCCCTTATTGCCACAAAGGGAGGGCTGGTGCAGGCCATTCATAAGTTCGCGGAGGCTAGAGGAGGGCCACCACTGGCCATTCATGATTTGGGAATGGATCTGGGACAGGCTGTGCATGCCTGCAAGAAGGCCAAGGGGTGGATGGCACAGCACAAGTGCAGGAAGACCAGAGAAACTTACCAAAACAACATGTGACTTTTCCTGCCCCATTGACTTTGTGGGATGCCGGCAGGGAAAGTTGCAAATAGCATTCAGACCACCATGGGATGCTGCAATTCTCATAAGTGCAATTGTCAAGCACTTCAATCACAAGCACAGGACCTCAGGGGTGAGCAACAGTCAAGGATTGTACCCTCATTCATCACCATTACCATTTTAAACAGTTGCTGACCGAATAATTGATAAGCAAGGGTAATGTGTAGAAGTAGAAATTGAAATGAGGAAATAACCCACTCCAGATTTTTGAATTCCAACTACAGATCTAATTTATTAAAAGATGACTTTAGGTTAGTCATAATCTCTTAGATTTAGGTTCTCTGACAGGACTTATGAGAAACCTATGGAATGTAAATATTACGCATATCTTTCCTTAGATGAATAGACTAAAGCAATAATACATTTTGTTAAAAGATATACTTGATATTGTAATATAAATAGTATTTATCCAACTATGGCATTTTTCCTAATTCCATGCTACACAGTGAAATTACTGTTTGGAATTGTGTGTCATATTCCAACATGATAAGTATGTTTGTTAATCTATTTTCTTACTTGATGCTGAATGCTATCTGGTATAGCTGCATTTTTCTTTTTATATATTTTATTTGCATAGGCACTCTTGGGATAAGTCTGTCCCCCTGCAGTGTCCCAGGATCCAGACCCACTTTCCAGCTTGCAGATGATGAATTTGAGCTGGGTTTAGGTAAGAATGTATATATCACTTTTGTCTATCCCAGTGGTTCTCAACCTTTTTAATGCCGCAACCCCCAACCGGTCGTAAGTCGAGGACTACTCAACCGGTCGTAAGTCGAGGACTACTCAACTGGTGGAGCACCCGTTTGCAGAATGGGACTTTTGGCGGACTCAGCAGGGCAGAGACAGCCTGGACAATTCCTATTGGCTTTGGAAAGCCAATAGAATTAGACTCTATTCAAGAGAGTCTATTCTATTGGCTTTCAAAAGCCAATAGAATAAAAGGGAGTAGCACAGCTAAGGAAAAGGGGGGGGGGAAATGGCGGACTGCATTGTTTGGCGACCCCCGTGAAATGGTTGTTCGACCCCAAATGGGATCCCGACCCACAGGTTGAGAACTACTGGTCTATCCCCTCCTTTAGAATGGCATCATGAATGCAGTCTCTTTGGGAATGTTTCCAATTTTGAGTTGAAATTATATCTTTGCATGCCTGTTATCAGATGTAGTTAGTTGTAATGAATGTATTATTGATGGAATGATGTGGTTATTACTCTCACTTCTATAGTATAAATTGCTTTGAGGTTAAACTGATGTGTCAAAAGAAATTTTTTTCCAGATAAATTTAACTTCTAAGATTTCCTTAACTATAACAAGTGAAGTTAGTAAAGCATTCATGAGAGATTTCTTTAACGTCAAACAGAAAAAAAAGCTGTCCAAAAGCAGAAAAATATATTGTTGAATGATTTTAAATAATTAGAAATAAATAAGAAACTAAATCCAATTTTGAATATAGAGCAAAAGATAAAAGTAATACAGAACCAGTTTTATTTAGTAGAAATAAATGCACCTTACAAAAAAGTTAACTGTACTAGACAAAATATTTTTGAAAATATTTTGAAAAAAGCAAGAAGCAAGCCAAATTGTTAGCTTATCAATTATGGACAGACTAATACAAGAATTATTATTTCTATCTGGGATAAAACCAAATATATTTCAGTTTGTCAATTATTATTCTAAATCAGTGATGGTGAACCTTTTAGAGACCGAGTGCCCAAACTGCAACCCAAAACCCACTTATGCATCATTGGGTGCCGAGTGGGTGTGGACCATTGGGTGGGTGTGGACCATTGAGTGGGCATGGCTGCGGTGGTAACAGCAGACTGGGTGGGACTAAAAAGTTCAATCAATCAATTCCAACTTCACAAGATCTTTTTTTTTCCCGGGAGAAGTCGAAATTGACTGATTGATTGAACCTTTTTTTTTTTTTTTGTACACGGCGGCAGAGGCCTAAAGCGAAAAGGTTTTATAAAACCCAGCTGAAGGCCTAGGACTGGGGCGATGGCACATGTGCCCATGGAGAGGGCTCTGAGTGCCGCCTTTGGCACCCGTGTCATAGGTTCGCCACCACTGTCTTAGTGTATTGTTTATCACTTTTTTATTCTTTTTTAATGATTTGAATTGTATTAACAAAGTAATTTTAGTCAAGTTTGTTTCATTTGAAAATTGAAATGAAATATGTTATGCTATTATAAGCTTTTAATGGTGTCTGAGAATATTTTAGTTACATGATCCAGATTTCAGGACTATCTGCTCATGTCAATATGTCATTCTTTATTTGTATTTCCCATTTTCTTTACTATTTTCAATGTATTTGTATTTGTTTTGTCGATTTGCTACTCTTTTTAAAATATATAATTTTTAAAATCTGCTGGTAATGGTATAAATACAAAAAAATTCTAATGTTTAATAAAAGAGTGGTTAGGATTTTGTTATTAATGTTATTTTTGTTAGTTAAAAAAGAAAAACTGAAGATAATTTGTTTTACCTGCAGGAATCCACGGTGAAGCAGGTGTGCGCAGAATAAAGGTAAGTTGACTATGACCCATTTTATATTCCTAGAAGTGTAAACTTGTCCACTAACATGTGTCGTTTTCACAGATGGCAACAGCAGATCAGATAGTCAACATAATGCTGGATCACATGACCAACCCTTCCAATGCCTCTCATGTACAACTTAGGCCTAGTGAGTAACTTTGGACTGACATACCTATTATTCCCCAAAGTTCTCAAAAGACACTGGTAATGATTCTTTTTTATTTATTTATATTTTATATATATATATATATATATATGTTTTCTGAGGTTTTCGCGGGTGTTTGTATGTAGGTCTTTGGTTATTCGGGTTTTCTCCCGCGTAAAATTGGAAGTGTCTTGGTGATGTTTCGACGAAGTCCCATTCGTGAGGAGCACGAAGCTGAAAACACCAGCCTGAAGATGACGAATGGGACTTCGTTGAAACGTCGCCAAGACACTTCCAATTTTACGCGGGTGAAAACCCGAATAACCAAAGACCTATACATACATACATACATACATACATACATACATACATACAATCAATGTAATTAATTTTTACTTGAACAACAGCATTTTTGGCGAATTTACTACAGATATTCCTTGACTTACAGGAATTTAAGAAATTTTGCAGCCAGGAATTTATATTATATGTTACCATACCAATAAAGGATGTAGCTCAGGGTTGAAATGAGAGGTGCTTGGTGCTCTCTGAGCTTGCTTGTTTTCTTGCAGACATTTCATTACTCAAGCCAGGTAACATCATCAGTGCTCATAAAGAGTCCATATGTCACCGTGGTTGTAAATCGAGGCACCCACATGAATGAACTGATTTTATGACATTTTTTGTGGCAGTTATTAAATGAACACCATTGTCATTAAGCAAATACTGTGGTCATTAAGCAAGCCCATTGTCCAAAATGTCTGTTTTGGAATGGAAGTACAGTAAATGCTAGTTTTTGACAAAAAAATGTCATACACGATGTGTTGGATGCTGCAAATGGCCATGTGAGCCAGTTTTCAAAAGCCCAAATGTGATCACATGACTGCGGGGAGGGGGGAAAGGATTGAAACTTTTAATTAGGATTATAAGTACCTTTGAGAGGGTTTCATTGTACCTTCAAAGTGAACATTCGTAAGTCAGGGATTACCTGTATGTGAGTAGGAATCCAAGGGGCATTTTGACCGTTGTGACTATTACCATGACTATATGTACGAATCTAGCATCCTTTGTGTATTGATATTTGCAGATTACATTTATATTAGGCTTCCAGGCCATAGAAACACCTTTCAGTTTTACCAATGTTTGCTTTGGCTTTCAGAGGCTTCTGTGGTCTTGGTAGTGAACAACCTGGGTGGATTATCCTATCTTGAGTTGAATATAGTAGCTGGGTCTGCTGTTTGTTCTCTTGGTAAGTTATTATTATTATTATTATTATTAGTAGTAGTAGTAGTAGTAGTAGTAGTAGTAGTAGTAGTAGTAAAGGAAAACAAACATCCAGTTACCAGCAAAGTACTCACGTCTTTGAATGCATTGCATACCTCCACTTTAATTACTTGGGATTAAACTCATTGTCATATAAACAGCCAAGATCTTTTGGCTACATTTATTAACCTAATATGTATGTAAGATTTAATTTAATAAATACACAAATCCTATTTTGAAATAGCTAGACAACATGTTCTCTATTGGGTCATCATTTCAGAGATATTTCCTTATCAGATTCCTCAATACCTTCAACAAGGACTTCTAGTGAATTCCCTTAATCGGAAAAGTTGAGATACAGTCAGAGATACAGTGTATCTTGAAAATAGCCCATACTAAACTATATTACACAGTCAAATATCAACACAGGAAATATTTAATGACATTTTATTATATCATAAACTATTTTATGATAATGTTTATGTCATAACATGATTTATAAAATTTGCCAAATTTCAATTCCATGGGAGTCATGGGTCCTGGATTTTGGACACATTCTCTGAATCAACTCATTTGAGGTATTTTAGTTCAAAACGTTTTGTCCTATGGTACACCTTTTTGCCCCATTAAAGTTTACAGGAATTATAGTTTTAGTAGCATATAGTTAATGTTGATAGAATTAAAACATAACCTGGATAGAAACTGGGATTCAACTGCATTATAAATCAACCCATAATATTTGGAGCAGCATGACAACTGGAATACTATAAAAGCTGTTTCCAAGCAAATAGTTGATTATCTACGGTATATGAAGGAAGGGGGAAAATACACAGTAACTGTTATTCTGGCCCAGGGGTTAGTTATATTCCCAAGGAAGCAGTCCTTGGAACCAGTAAACTATTCATCAAACCGTCTTTAACAGAAACATTATTGGATGCTTTCCCACCAAAACTCATATCCTACTGTACTACAATAAAAGTAGACACCTTTCATTGGTCTGGGGATAGAAACTCATCCTTCCAACTTGCAAAAGGCTATTCAATGATGTGTTGATTACCAGGAATGGGAGAGCTGAAATTTTGCTCTGGGGTTTTTTGGGGGGAGGCTTTTTGGTTCATGTATTTGTACTTGAAAATCACACCACCAAATTTCAGGTTTACCATTGCGAGATTCTCCGCTTCTTTTTTTAAAAAAAAAAAGTGTTCTAGAACTTTTTAAATTTTAAGAATTTTCATGTCTAATTTGTAGGCAATATTTTGCATACCTATACATTACTTTTCTCTTCCATACTATCCTGATACTTTTATCTAATGATACCATGTTTACTTGTTTTTTTGTCTAAAAATGCTTTGTGATAATCTGTGTTAATTTATATTCATCTCTGTCTGATAGGAATTTTGTATATTCATAATGAATTGATGTTTGTAACTTGAATTCACACTTGAAAAAGAAATAACAAAAAAAGCACAAGTTCTTCAAGGGGGATCTTGATAGCGGGTTGTTGTTTTTTTTAAATTCCATTAGTAAATAGGCCTGACATGGATATTGCCCTGCCTCAAGTAGGATTATTCCTATTTGGGAAAGGAGAAAAAAAATTAGAGGTTCAGGATCACATGAAAGAGGAAAAAATTATTGATGCACTTTTGATACCTCCAGGCTGTTCTAAAGGCCCCACAACCCTCCTTATTTTCTGGAGATGAAGGTGAGGGAGGCATTTCTAAAAAATAAAACACTCCATGATCATAACCATAACCTTCTAGCACTGATAATATTACATAGTGGGGTAATAAAACATCTGCAAGGAAACAACCAAGCTCAGAGAGTACCGAGGAACCCATATTTCATAATCAATTCCGTTCATGAGGTCTTTGAATCTCATAAGACCCAAGTATTGAATTTCCTCTTCTTGTAGTGACATCACTTTGGAAATTTTATGGACTGGTTTCTTTACTTTTCAGTTGCTTATATATGATTAACCTTCTCATGTTTTCCCAAACTTTGCATTATTTAAAAAGGATATAATTTTCATTTTTCTTAATCTGGTTCATTCGTGACAGTTACTTCTTTTTCCTTCTCATTTTGGTTGTTCACCCTGAAGAATGCTTCAAGTTTTCCTTGCTTCATCATTGCAGAGAGCAGAGGTTTTCACGTTGCCCGGACTTACGTTGGCTCCTTTATGACTGCATTGGAAATGGCAGGTGTCTCCCTTACCCTTCTCCAGGTGGATGAAGAACTCTTGATCCTACTTGGTAATTTTCTTAGATGTTGGTTTCCTTCCCACTGCTTTAGTGGGGAAAGTAAATTGTAAGTTAATGGATCAGAATATATCTGTGGAACCATCACTTCAGAATGGTATTTTTGACATTTGGGGCATGCACAATGCAGATTCATACCTAGCATGTTCAGTGGTGTACTGTATCTTTTTATTTTAAACTAGCTGTTCCGGCCACGCGTTGCTGTGGCTCAGTCTGGTTAAATGGAAAAGAAAGAAAAGAGAAAGTGCACGTTTGTAGTATGTTTAATTTCACATTAATTGTGGGTATACAATATTTTTTGTTGTTCCATTGTCTGCAGATACAGAGATTGTCTGAAATTGTAGCGTGTGTTGCTTTTATGTCCAACAGATGGCGCTGTTTTTCACAAAAAGCATGTTTTTACCTGTCACAGGTGTGACATCTATATAATATAGGTATATAAAAACACGCATGAATTCGAATGCAACGTTGTGTCAAAATTTCAAACAATCGGTGAAGAACTTTTGGAGATTTAAGATTTTGAGCAAACGAACATTTACATTTTTATTTATATAGAGAATAGTATCTCTTCGCTTCTGTTGTGCTGGATTTGATTATTTGGGGATTGTTCCCAGATATGTTTCTATTTTACATAGAAAAAAAAACTGGTGAGAATTCTCAACAATTCATTTTTTGATGTTCTTTTGTGACTGTGAAATTATCTTCAGCTGTTGTCCACAATTATATTTAAATTCCTAGATTCAGATACCACAGCTATTGCCTGGTTAAAACCTGCCAGAATGTCCGTGACAAGACAGAAAATACAGATGATAGTACCCAAAGTGTGTTCTAAGGAAGAAGAGCCTGACCCAGCAAAAGGTACAGTCTGAAATATCTATTATAGCTACAATGGAATTTCTGCTATGCTATGTTCATGCCATCAGCCGAGACTGATCCAGGCTTCCAGGTAATGGTAGAGACAGAGAATGGGAATAAAAAATCTGAGGCACCACTCTATCATGATGGGACAAATAGAATTTAATCGATATCAATGCAAGTCAGTAAGACTTGCATTGAGTTCTGTTCTCTTTTCCATCTCTGCTTGAGCCTAGCCCTCTAATATTTTTGTGACGTAGTAGAACAGACGGATTACATGTATATTAGCTTCTGGAACAATAGAGAATTGCCAGAGCACTTTTCTTGTCTCTGTCTGGTTCCAGTGCTCTGGTTGAATGATTTTTGTTTTTGTTTAGATACACCACATTTTCTTTTCAAAAGAATTGCAATTCTACCTAAAGAGCATAAGGCTGATATGCAAATCTCCAACTGATGCTCACTTTGCAGAGGGAATTACAATGAAAGGGAAGGGAAAGAAGATGGTCTGCGATTTTTGTCTTCTGTGGGAAGAAGAGAGCCAAAAGCAGATTCAAGTTTGTCAGGGTTCTATAAGTTGCAGCATTTTAAAATGAAGCTAATTTAAGATAAGGAAACGCCCTTTCAGAAATTATGCCAAAGCAATCAAAATAATTCTTCCCATTAAAGAATAAGGTTTGAAATTGGGTTTGGGGTTTTGGTGTGTCATTGTTGATTTCCAATGTAACAGTTATTTACTAAATTGTAAAGTTATTGTTTTATTTGATATCTAGATTAACGGTTATTAAAAATAATATTTATTTCTTGCCTAACTCTAATTCCAATGAAATAGTTTTTTTTATATAGGGCAGTCACACAAATTCATTTTATCATTTTAGGTGGCTACAGTATTGCAAAACTTGAGAATTATAGAACAAACACGCAGAATATTCATTTCAAACACAATAATTTTTTACAAAAGTTTTATTTTTTTCATCATTCACCGAGTAAATAAGTTATGAATCATCCAGTACAGACTTAAATTTCTTTAATAACTTTCTGATTAAAGTGATTGGTTTTGCTTAAGTGAACTGTGTAGTTAGATATTATCTTTTTATACATATATTCACAAGAAACAGAGATGAATTCCAGCATTGATACTTATGTAAGGTGGAGTGTATGAAACTTTACCATTATTGCAAGAAAATAACTAATAGTTTCTATTCCCTTTAGTGCCATCTTCTCCTCACATGAGATTGATTCTGGAGTGTGTGTGCTCTAAAATGCTTAGCCTACAGGAGCAACTCAATGAACTTGACCGTGCTGCAGGTGATGGAGATTGTGGCAACACACATGCACAGGCTGCCATTGGTTAGTTTTCTCATCATACTCTAAGCGACAGGTGTCAAACTCGCTGCATCAAGTGACGTGTCACGAGGTATTTTTTTGCATTGCTGGAGGTGGGGTGGGCAGCGCCTCCGTATGATGCAACCAGCCCACAGGTCGGCAGTTTGACACCCTTGCTCTAAGTCTTGGCATCAACCTATATCACGTGACAACTTTGGACTTCTCTTTAAAAAGTCCAGTGTTGAATTCCATTGAGCTCTTTTGTAAAGTTTGGTTCATTTTTGGTTAGAGCAATGAAAATCATGCTACATCATGAAATATCCTAACCGCACCTAAGGCTACAGAGATCGCTGTATTTCAGACTGTGAACAAATTTTAACTTTTGTGTGCTTGATAAACATGAGGGAAGAATCTCAACTGAGATTTAAGCTGTATGCCCAGAAGAGTAAAGCTTTCTTCCAAACTATGATCTAGATGGGGGGAGGCAGAGAGTTGGAGAAGTGGTAAAGGTCATAAATGGAGCCTAAACACAATAGAATTTGTGTATATGCTGTACTTAAACCAGGGACAAATTAGGATGGAAGGGTGAAGATGGGGATCAGACCAAACATGATTGATCTTGCAAATGAGCAAAACAAATTGATAAGTATTCATAATTTGAACTAGCTTTGGATGCTATTGCTGTTTTCTCTAAAACAAAAACAATATAGTGAATATGAGCTGTTGCTCTTCCTCTGTCAGAATTGGAGATTATATATACTCTGAATTGTATATTATGGATACATTAAGATTAATAATTTGAAAGCAGTTGTGTTTTTGCCCAAGAGAGGAAAAGATTTTTCAATTGTTACTAATTCTGGAATCCTTGGTATTCTCTCAGCTTGGTTGTTTGCTTGCAGATGTTTCATTATCTAACTAGATAATATTGTTGCTCTAATCTAGTTGGGTAATGAAACATCTGGAAACAAACAACCAAGCTCAGAGACCATCAAAGACTCCACAGTTCAACCCTGACCTCCATACATTCTTTTCTGAATCTGTTGCTAAATGAATCCTCAAGTGTGCCAGTAGTTGAATACAAACTGGGATGAAAAGGGCAATGGAAAGTTTCCTACTTCTGGAGTGATTTTGTATCTTTTCTCCTGGTGCTGTAAATTACCATACCAAATCATGGATGTCAGGACAGCTTATTGTAAATCTGCTAAGTTTCCTGTTTAATAATCGTTCTTGGAACTTGTTGCTTAAAAATAGGGAATTTTAAAAAATTAATATTAAAAAAATATAAAATGAACACCAGCTAGAGCAGGGCTTTTCAACCAGTGGTATGGGTACCACCTAGGGTACATTGGCACCTGGCAGGTGGTACGTGATCATCCTAGAAAAGTGGTAGTGGGGGAGGGGAATGAGCTGAACTGGTGGCAGCACCGCACAAGTCTGAGCGAGAGACGGCTGGTGCTGCAGGGCTGTCAGGACTCAGCGGAAGCGCCAGGATCAGCGCCAGGCTCCAGCTGGAGCTTGGCGCTGATCCTGGCACTTCCACTGAGCCCTGAAGAAGCACCAGTCAGTTGGAAAGTAGCACTGATCCTGATGCTTCTGCTGAGCCCAGAAGAAGCGCCTATCAGCTGGAATGTTGCAGCATCTCCAGGGTCTTGTGATTTACATTCAGATGCTTGGCAACTGATTCATGTTTATGACAGTCACAGTGTCCCAGGGTCATGTGAAGTGACCAAAACCTGCTGCAACCACCAGCAGACGGGGGGAATAAAAACCAAATACCTCCCACCCCACCCCCGCTGCCAATCCTCAAGAGAAATGCTCACAACAATGAAAACCTTGGACAGGAAGAAGAGCGCCATTGGGTGGGCAGGCAGGTGTCTTGCTCGGCTGTGGCTTGGGGGGGGCACTTTTTTCAATGCTGTTATAACTTCAAACAGTCACTAAGCAAACTGTTGTAAGTCGAGGATTACCTGTACTTTATCACTTTTTTTGGTCATCAAGTTTTTGACACCTTGCTAGGCAACTGGTGGTACTCAGATGTTGCCATATCCTAAAAGTGGTACAATGGGTGAAAAGGTTGAAAAGCCATGAGCTAGAGGATTATCAGGTCTAACCATGACTATTGCTTCCTCAGCAATCCAGAATTGGCTAGATGCTAAAGCTCTGCCTCAGCGACCTTATCAACTGTTCTCTTCACTAGCCAAGTTGCTCCTGGAAAAGATGGGAGGCTCATCAGGAGCGGTGAGTGTTGGCCAAGTGGATTAGCTGTTAGTTGAAAATGAAAGGCAAATAGAACTACTAGGTTTTATGTGTTTAATCTGGAAGAAAGCAGTTAGAAATTGAGAACGTTTCTTAAATTATTAATTTAATTGACAGTGCCAGACCAAATTTTCTCAAAAAAAAAAAAAGAAAGAAAGAAAAGAAAAGAAAAGCAAGGACCTGAGCAATACTTGGATGTGAGAACCTCTAGGAAATCCCAAGGTGTATCTCAGTTTAATTGAGAAATTGAAATAATATCTTGAAAGAAGGCAATAGCAAACCACTCTATTTTGTTCTGTACATAGAAGTGTACATGGATTTTTTTTTTTCAAATTACTAGGCATCAAACTTAACTCCCAGGAGAATTTAATCTTTAATTTCTGGATTAAGAAATATAATCAAATGTGAAAATATGCATTTATAATAATGTTGCCTTTTAGGAAAACTGGTAAAAGAATAAAATGCTCAGATTTATAGTTGAGTCAAACCATTTAAAAACAATATAGTTAGTTCTAACCATTCAGTCCTGTCCAACTCTTGGTGACTTTATAGTTAAGTGCTCTCCATTCTACCCCTTTGAGTACAGCTTCTTGTATCAGCTTTGATTATATTAAGCCAGCAAGTTCTTTGCTTGCTCTTTCTTGATCTACTAACCATTCCTAGCATCACTGACTTCTGCAATGAATTTGCAAATATGACATGGCCAAAGTAAATCAGATGTCTAGTTTGTTGTTGTTGTTAGTTGCAAAGTCGTGTCTGACCCATCACGACCCATGGACAATGTTCCTCCAGGTCTTCCTGTCCTCTACCAACTTCTGGAGTCCATTTAAGCTCGTGCCTACTGCTTCAGTGACTCCATCCAGCCATTTCATTCTCTGTCGTCCCTTCTTCTATTGCCCTCAATCTTTCCCAGCATTAGGCTCTTCTCCAGTGAGTTCTTCCTTCTCATTAGGTGGCCAAAGTATTTGAGTTTCAACTTCAGGATCTGACCTTCTAAAGAGCAGTCGGGGTTGATCTCTTCTAGGACTGACTGGTTTGAACGCCTTGCAGTCCAAGGGACTCGCAGGAGTCTTCTCCAGCACCATAGTTCAAAGGCTTCAATTCTTTGGCGCTCAGCCTTTCTTATGGTCCAACTTTCACAGCCATACATTGCAACTGGGAAAACCATGGCGTTGACTATATGCACTTTTGTTGGCAGGGTGATGTCTCTGCTGTTTAGTATGCTGTCTAGATTTGTCTAGTTTAGTAGACTGCAATAAAACAATATACTACTTTATAAACTGGAAAAACTGAGGACTTCTTAGATCTACACGTGTTAGGTTGATGGAAGAATGTACAGAACAAGATACTATCTTTTGTAATCATGAAATTCTATATGTGCAATTTTCATATTTTTTATATAAGCCGCTTAATGTAGAGATCAGCAAATACTTAGAATACATTTATTTTATTTGCAGCTCTATGGATTATTTCTGACAGCAGCTGCTCAGTCTCTAAGGACTGACGATGACTTAGCAGCCTGGTCCTTAGCAATGGATGCTGGTATTAATGCTATGATGCGGTGAGTATAACTCTAATTATAGCTGAGGAAATATAAGCAATATATGTTACTTTTTTATTTCATAACATTTCATGTGTTGTCACATCTAAGAGTGACATCGTTTTTACAGAAAGTAAACCAGGACTACTGTGAGGAAATATTATTCACGTGTATGATGTGATCCCAGTCACTTTGTTTCATCATCTTGTTACTATGGCTTTTAGCTCCTCGGTATGGCTTTCAGCTCCTCCCCCAAACTTCTGTGTTTTCTATCACTTGTTTAATTGCTTGCATTAAGCAAGGCCAGTTTTTACAAATATGCTATATGAACTACTCAAGGAGTAGCTGTTTACCCACACATCGTAGAAACTATACTAATAAATATTTCCTCTGACAGGTATGGAGGAGCTGCACCTGGAGACAGGACCATGGTAAGAAATTTATCCTAAGTTTTTGTTTAAATTACTTCTGCTAGTGCCATGATGGCAGCCATATTTTCCTTCTTTCACTAACTGTACTAATTGCGATAATAACATATGTGAAGTACTTTATGCTAGTAGAGTAATTGGATCATTTACACTTGGGGAGGTTTATTGACATTGGGTAGTGGAGATCAGTTTTGCAGGATTAGCAATAGCACGTAGACTTATATACTTCTTCATAGTGCTTTACACTTACAGCACTCTCTGAGAAGTTCACAGAGTCAGCATATTGCCCCCAAGAGTCTGGATCTTCATTTTACCAATTTCGGAAGGATGGAAGACTGAATCAACCTTGAGCCAGTCAGGATTGAATTCCTGGCTGTGAGCAGAATTAGCCTGCAATATTGCATTCTAACCACTGTGCCACCATTGTGCTTAACATTCCAAGGTGAAACTAGCCCCCGCAGGTGTCCCGAACATAGATCACCTTGCAATTTAACTTTTGTACAGTCAAGACAAAATGACGCATTTTATTCCTCATTGTTATAACTGTTCCTACAACCTGCAATTAGCTTTTCAAAAAAAATCATTAGTCTTAATCTGTTAACTACTAAAACAGCAATTATTAGTTTTATAATTGGTGTCATTGTTGGAGGTAGTGGAGGAAAGAAGGAGCATGGAGGTAAAGAATAAACTGTGAAAACAAGTTTGGATGTAAGAAATGGATTTCTGCATAGTTGGGTAGATTTAGGGCTGCTTTTGATTTTTTTTTTATAGAAAGCTAAGATTTGTAGTTTCTAATAAGTTATCTCTGTGTATTCAACCAATGTGCTATTTTCTTCAGTGCACATGCTTGCTTTTAGTCACACTTTCAGTTTCCCAAGTGCTTTTTTGATCCATATAAAAGAATAAAGTTTAAGTTCTGATAATATACATTACAAATTTGGTGACTTCGAAATATATGGACCACAGTTTTTATTCTGCTAATGGATATTTCATAGATTTCCCTGTACTGTTTTTTTCAGTTATATTTTTTGCCGAGATTCTACATGGCAAGACTGTATTAAATGTATACATTAAGTGTATACTAAATATTAAATCTCCAGGGCCATATGCTATAGTTTTGTAATCATAGCCTCATATAGGTAATTTTACATATGTACAGGAGTCCTTGGATTCTGATCATTACTTTGGTGACCATTTAAAGTTACAACAGTCAGAGAAGGAACATTTTATCACGTGTGGTGGCTGTGCCCCAAAGCAAAAAATTATTGGGAACGAATAAGAGATTGGATACAGGAGATAACGGAGATACAAATGGATTTTAAACCAGAATTATTTCTTTTGGGCATAATAAATTTAAAGATGGAAAAACAACTCCAACATATCATTATACACATATTGACTGAAGCTTGTATAGCATATGCTCAATGTTGGAAGAGTGAAAATATTCCCACAAATGATATGATTATGTACAAAATCTTGGAATGCGCAGAAATGAATAAACTTACGTTAGAATTAAAAGACAAGGAGGCGACAGAATTTTATGAAATTTGGAATAAATGTTATAATTGGCTAGAACAGAGAAAGGAAAAGACATAATTATTGATGTACATCAAATGTAAATAAGATGTAAAGAATGCTTAAAATGTATAGTACTGTTCTGTTAAAAGAAAAGATTTATGTTTATGTATTTTAAGTTTGTTTGGGTGTATGGTGTATAGTGAAAAATAATTTTAAAAATAAATAAAAAAATAAAGTTACAACAGTGCTGAATGAATGGTAGTTATGACTGGTCCTCAAAGTTCCAACTGTTGCAGTGCTCCCAGAGTTAGGTGATCAAAATTGGGCACTTAGCAGCCCACCTGCAATTATGACCGCAGTATGTGCTTCAGCTGCCTCCCCATTTCCCCCCCATTTTTCTCCTTCAGTCTGCCCTCCACTCTGCCATCTACCTTGCCATCCCAGCTGACCTTTAACATCTTCCTCCCACTGCTGCCAAGACGGGCCAAGTCATTTGTGACCTTCCCTATTGGCTTCCACCAAGCAAAGTCAATGGGGAAACTAGCAGGGAAGGTTACAAGGCACTCCTACTGCTTTTTCTCCTGCCCACAGCATTTCCTATACATGTGTGCAACCTTCCCAAGGCCTCCCACGCTCCTTGCCTGGGACTTCCTCTGCTTTGTGCTTAATGACCTGCACAGACCTGGGCTTATGACCAAGTGATATGCTCATATGATATTATGGTTTACAACTACATTGCTTAGCAAAGGCATTCATGGTCCCAATTGTCATTGTAACCTGAGGACTACTTATACAGCTTTTCCTCTCTCTCCCCCTTTCCTTCCAGTTGGTATTTTCCCTCTCTGTCAGAGCCAGCACTTCAACTGAAAATGTTTGGAATTTTTCTTACCAACTATAGCAAATCCTGAAGATTTTCTTCAAAGGGTCTGTTTATGTCCAGTGAAGAATAGTAAATCTTGCCACTATTGTTTGTCTAATATTCCTCATCTCTTGCCTAGCTGGATTCACTCTGGGCTGCTGCAAAAGTACTCAAAGCTTTGAAGACACCTAAGGCTGATCTGATGGAGGTTCTGGCCAAGGCTGTGAATGTGAGTTTATTAGCATATATGCAATTCAAAGTTAGTCACTTTTGCCTCGTAAGAGCGAAGATGAGGAACATGCAGTTTACCTTTCTGTTTTTTTATTGGAGAAGTGCTTCTTCAAAGCATAGGAACAGATATGAGGTTAAGTCTTTGGAGCCTTCTGGAAAGGGGAAAGGTCCAGGTTGGGCAAAGCATGATTTCAAGGAATTGGCATTCTTTTCAGCCAGCCCCTTGAAAGGAGCTGTTTTAAAAGATTCTTCCTTCCTCCAGAGGTGCTCTTTGATAATCAGCTAAAATCGATAATCAAAAACTATAAGTATTAACGGCATCAGGGTAAAGGCTGTAGCAACAAAAAAAAAGAGATCTAGACTCCAAATGATGTCTGTGTTTACAAACTGAGATGTGAAACTTTTTTGTATTATATCTAGTGTTATAGCTATATAAAGAACAAGTTTGTAGTATACCTGTTTATGTTGCTTTTTTTTTTACAGGAGGCAGAGGCTGCTGCTGAATCTACGAAGAATATGGAAGCTGCTGCAGGCAGAGCCAGTTATATCAGCTCAGCTCACCTAGTACAGCCCGATCCTGGTGCTGTAGCAGCTGCAGCCATTCTCCGGGCAGTGCTAGAAGGGTTACAGGCTAAACCATAGTAACGTCATGATATTCTTCCTTAATATAAATCACATTTTAGTACTAGTTTAAATGTCCCATCACTATTCTATCCCTGCTGTGCAGGTCTTACTAAATCCTGGTACCTTTGGCATGACAAAGTTTATTTTAACTTACAAAGCTTTCTTGCACATTATTTGGTATTATTCTGGAAACGTCATGCTTGAGAACGGAGTTATGTTTATATGTTTGGCTGGGGTCTATGTTTTTTTTCATGCTTTTTATATTTTGACTGTTACGGAGTCCTCTTTTCAAGTTGTTCAAGTTTTTATGTACTGCATTTCTTCGCTGTACACAAGAGGTGTTTTAAGTTTTGTCGAAGCTATGTAGTGGTACATTCAAACAATAGTGTAGCAACATAGCTTGAACAGCTAAGTAAAATATATGCAAAGATTTTCTAACTCTAGATACCAGGTGTATAAGTAGTATGCCAGAATCTTTATAAAATATTTCATAGACCATGACTGTAGTCTAGATATTTTTTTTAAAAAACCATCTGGAGCTGCTGAAATTAATACATCAACACAGTATACATCTAAAGAGTTGTTGAGCAAAGTGAATGCTATTTCTGTTCCTTGTCTGTTGATTTCACATAGAGATCTCACTGGCCACTGAGAGAAACAAGATTGACTGGTTAAATCCATTCCCTGACCGAGGAGCACAGAGAGCCCCACAATTTCATAAGTGCAATCATCACACTTGTTAAACTACCGCATATTTATTTGCGTACAATATAGCTTAAATAAATATGGAACAGATCAATTTAACTTAGCTTGTACATATGTAGATGCTGAGAAGAATATTGCTATATATTCATAATTGAAATAATCTGCCTTTTAGCCTCGATAGTAACTCAACATTCTCATAGTTACAGGGATCCTCTTTGGGTACAAGGCATCATAAATCTACATCAGGATTTTTGAACTGCTTACCCTCTGGGCAATATGTTTCAGCTGTTATACAATCAATTAAAATGTACCCTGCTAAAAATGTTTAGCTAGTACCTAAATAACATTAAAGGAAGCTTGGCGACCAGACCTCTCTTTTGGGAACTTCATAAAGGGGATTATTTACAGATGAGTTTTTCAAGGTTGTCTATTTTGCTTCAGGTGATGATAAAAATTCGTCTTTATAAAATTTAGCATTCTTAAGGCTGGGACTTAAGCATTTTGAGCTGGGATTGGAAATAAGTAAAAAACACTCTTTCAGGATTGTAGAGTATATTATTACTCAGGTAACATGCTGGTTAACACATTAGATCTTCTATGTGGCAGGTAGGTGGGTGTTATTTTCAGCAGCAGCTATACAAAGAATGCATTACAGTTTAGATTGAAAGAAATTATCAGGTATATTTCTCTGGCAGCCAAGGACCCATGTATACAAAGGTAACTTCTGTCATATTATCTGCCACAAAAACCCAAAGTTATTTCATCTAGATAACTGCAGGCACCATTTTAAAATATTTTGCTACCGTAATTATATGATCAAGAACTCATTCGATATAATCAGAATGAAAGCTAGGTGCACAGTTATAATTAAGTGAAACTACCTGTATTTAAATTGGAAAAAACAAATGGTGTTAAGGAAAATGTTCAAAAGGAATATAGAAGAATAAATATACATAAGACTTTTTTTCACTGTCTGGTTATTTCCAAATAAAGCCTTTAAACTAACTTTGTTTCAAAACATTTTTCAGCTATTTTGCCAATCTTGAGCTAACACAATGATACTGAGAAGGAGTTAATGTTGCATTGCATGTAATTAGCACATAATAGATACAGGTAGTCCTTGTTTGGTGACTGTCCTGTTTAGCAAACATTTGCAGTTACAACTGTGATGAAAAAGTAACTTTATAACCAGTTCTCACATTTACAACTTTTGCAGGTCTGTAAAGCAAAGGAAAGCTGAAGTTAGATCATAAGCAGAAACATGGTTACATTTAGCAAGCACTTTGTTTAAGGACTAAATTGCCAGTCCCAATTGTTGCTAAATGAGGACTACTGGTACTTGTATAATGGTTTGGTTTTTGGTTCTTTAAATAAATGTAGCTTGCAAGTAACAGAAATTGGTAACACTATATGCTATAAATAGCTCAACAGAATATTTTAATTTAATTATATATCAAGGGCCAGTCCTTGAGTGTGTTCAGCTCACATTGCTTGATTAAGTACAAGAATTTTTATATAGTTGTTTATGAAGAACAGCATAATCTTTTATTAGCATTATTAAGCGATTTAGCACAGATAAGAAAACGGCTCAATTTTCACATTATTAGAAATAAGAAAGGCATCAAGGATCCATTATTATTTTTTCTAAATAAGATTTAATCTCGTGACAGCATATAAGGTGATGTATCTTGTTAGACTAGACATGTGATCCAATGCAAAGTCTCATATTTAAACTCTAATGAAAGATGGCTTAAAATAAGGTGATTAGATTGTAGCTCTCAGAAAAAAGTAAACTTAACTATAGAGTCACATGATTGTAAGACAAGTGTTTCAGACATTATTATATGTATACTCTTCACCCTCACAAATGGACAAAGTCTATTCTGAGAATAAATTTGTTGCAAAGGAGGCATTTTAAAGCTAACTAATGATTATGTTTTGTCATCAACTACATGTGAATTTCAGTAGCCACAGTACTGTTAACACAAAAATAAGATTATGTTTCACTGACACAAATAGATACAGAAGAACTGTATTGGTGGGAAATAGGTAGTTCAGGTTTTGGACCATTTGAAAAAACTCCAAATATTTTTTTAAAAAAATATTTAATTAGCATGTGTGAATACCTAATTATAGCCCATGAAATCTCAGTGTTTTCTTTAGATCAGAAGTGTTTACAGTAATCAAATGAAAAAAGTTGGAAAAAATATTTCCATTGATTCCAAGTAAATAGAAACCATGAAAAGGTAACAAAGTAGTTGCATAATACATTACACCAGCAGTTTTCTAAGTGTAATCAGGGATCCACAAAATCAAATATCTTAAAATTTCTCAGTTTTAATTTCTAACGCAGTAACTATTGATAGATATAATCCATATAAACCCAAGTTCTTTGGGGACTTCGATCATTTTTAACAAATTAAAGTGGTCCCAAGTCCAAAATCTTTACAAACTATTGCACTGTGCCACATTTGGTTTGCTTATTTGCCCAATCATATAAATCTAGGTAATGTGTTTTGTAAACCAGGGGTTAAGATTTTATGGGAACCCAGTCATTTGTTTATTTGGTAAATCACCATTAAACAAATTATGGCTTGAAATGTTATATAAACACAACTTATGTGGGTGAATTGGTAAAAGATTTGGCTGTCTATCTGATGTATTACTGAACAAAATGAAAGCTTTTCTCTTTCAATCAAGAGAAGGCTGAGGCCCTCTATACTGGCTTCACCTAACATGTTAAATCAAAGCTAACAAACTATGTTCTATAATATGTGGAATCTGAACAGATTCATATTAAAAAACACAGAAAATTAGATCACATTCCATTAAAAAATAACGCAGCTCTGAACTTACACAAAATATCTGCTGTAGAACATCCTTTCACCCAAGTATCAGGAAAAAAGGCAGCTTTTCTTTGATTATTTGGGATTTTAATTGGCTATAGAAAAGCACAAAAATCTGTGAACTTTATGGCACTTTAGCAAACGGATTTGTTCAAATGTGGTTGAATGTCCAGCAATCCTTGACAGTACAAACATTTGAAGTTTAAAAATCAGACTCAGGAACAAATTTGAATGTCTGTTACCAGAAAAGTCTTCTCTTATTGAATTAGTTCATGATGTGAGCTCCTGTACTGATGAGAACAGCAGCAAGTAAGGCTGCAAACCTCAATGAAAAAACTCTTAGAGGAAGTAAACTGCACAGCTGTTCTTTAATTCTTCATCTGGCTTCTCGTAACAGAGGCTATGTAGAGGAAACAAACCAGAAGTTGGGTTCAATAAAACATTTTCCTATAGTGAAAGGGGATACTATGGTAGCTTAAATTATCTTTAAGATTAGTATTCACATGTTAATTTCTAAGAGCACATTTTACAGAAAAATAAGAGACTCAGCCTGTATAACGTAGGTTAATAAAGTTGTGCCTAGGTATTGAGATATGAGTGGCTTCAGCTATGAGTTATTGTTAAGTGGTATTGTTGTTAAGTACTGCTAGGCTACAATTTTTGATAACTTCAACCAGTATCTACAGTGGAAAATAATGGTAGGAACTGTTCTTTAATTGCTATCTAGAGTCACAAATTCCTTATGTCAATGGTAAGGGTAGCTGTTTACCATCTATTACTTCAATTTTCAAGATGACAATCTGTTTAATTGGCCTACTCTATTTTAAACTGAAATTTCATTTGAAAGTTATATACATTGCAAAAGTTTTGTTTCAGCAGTTTAATTAATTTAAATTCAGATTTGGAGACTAAATAGTCCAGGGTTTGAGAATTAAATGTTTTAGATTTAGATTCAATAATATCTAATTAACTAGCTTCCAGTGGATCTGCGCGCGCGATGGTGGCTACTTTGTAGCCGTCCTCCTGGGTAAGTGTTTGAATCGCTATGAACAGTGGACATCAGCTGTTCAGCGGTTCAAAAACCCCCTCCTGGGCAAAGGGGAGGGGTAGAGAGGTGTCTGAATAGTGGTAGAGCCTCTTATGCACCCCCAAAGTTTTTTTTGGGGGGGGGGGTGAAAAGAGTGCTCCCATGGAGTTCAGACTGTCTCCGCTTCCCAGCTGCTTTTGTCCCTAGGGACAAAACAAACCGCTGCAACCACCTCCGCGATTAAAGTTAACTGGTGAGTTTTTTTTAGAAGCGGACAGAGCTGAGTAGAGGATTTAGTTTTTGCTTTCTTTGATTTTATTTGGATTTTAAGTTTAAAGATTTATTTTTACTTTTATATTCCCTCTTTTTATTTTTTTTTTCCTTTGTTGAAAGGGAAAGTAAAATGGCGATCGGCAAGCCTTTCGGTGTTTTTTTTTTTTTCGGAAGGTAGAATGGCGACCGGGAGGCTTTTTGGGGTTTTTTTTTTCCCCTTTCTCTTTTCCTTTTTTTTGTTTTTTTTTAATGATTGGAATGGAGTGTTAGTATTATTATTTTTGTACTTTTTTGGTTTGTTTTTTGTACTTTTTGTATTTTTAAAAAAAATGGAATGGATTTTTTCTATTTAATTGTTCTTTTTTCTTTCTCTCTTTTCTTTTTTTTTGAACTCCTTTTTTTATTATAATGATCTCCTCTTGAAGGAATTTTTTTTTTGATTTTATGGAGTTAACTTCTTTTTTTCCTTTGTTTAATTTTTGCAATTTCTAAGAAGGAGTAAAGATTTTTTTAAGATGGCTCCAAAGCGTCCAGTAATCCCTACAGCTTCTAAAGTGGCTTCTTCTTCGGTGTCATCATCAGCACAACAACCTAAATTAATAGCCTCATCTTCTTTTTTGCCACAGTCAACAATGGTGAAGGATTTGCAAGATATGATGGGAGATGTTATACTTCAGATTAGGGGAGAAATGAAAGAGATTCTAGAGGAAAACAATAAGACTTTGAGGCAAGAGATAGTTTTGGCTTTAAAAGGAGTTGCCTCTGTTCTTGAAAAGTTGAATTCTCGCGTAGAAGAAGTAGTAGAAAAAGTGGAATTGATGGAGGAAAAATTTGAAAGTATGGAAAAAGAGATGAAAAATTTTCAAGATGAGATTCTTATGCTTCAATATAAACAAATGGAATATGCTTTAAGAATCAGAGGTTTGGGTGAGTCTGTGCAAGGAGATCTGAGAGAGATGGTTGCAAAGGACTTTGCTGTGATTTTGAATAGAGAAAAAGAGGAAATACTTAGTGAAATTGAACAGACATTTAGAGTTAACTCTGTAGTGGCAGAGCAAAAGAATTTGCCAAGAGATGTCGTAATTTACTTTGGGAAAAGATCCCTACGCAATGAAATTATACAAGCTTTTTACAAGAAGAGGTTTCAAATTGCTTCACAAAATGTTAAAGGAGATCCCATTTAAAATTTTAAGAAGAAGAAAGGAGTTTGCTTTTTTAGCAGACAAACTTAAAAAGAGACAAATTTTGTTTAGATGGGATGTTCCGACTGGAATGGTGGTGAATTACCTGGGGATACGTTATAGTCTTAATACTGTTTCTAAAGCAAAAGACTTTTATACTTCGGTCCTGGGGGTATGCTCATCGCCACCTATCACGTTTAAAGCTTTGGAAGATAAAAAGGCAGAATTGCAATCTGAAGTGCTTACACTTATGAAAATTGGGAAACTTCAGTTTGAGGGGCCTCAACAAGTAGAGATGGAGGAGCAGAAGACAACCTGTGTAACATACAATTGTAAAGAAAAGGATCAACAGAAGAAGGTCAAGGAAGTTTCACAAGTATTGGTTCCTGAATCTGCGGGAGAAGTAGGATTTATAAACTTTTTGGAGCAACCTTTAAAGGCAGAATTGCAGTGTGAAGAGCCTATATTAATTAAAAATGGGAAATTTCAGCTTGAGGGGCCTCAACTAGTCGAGATGAAAGAGCAGAGGACAACTTGTGCAACATATAAACGTAAAGAGAAAGACCAACAGAAGAAGGAGGTTAAGGAAGCCTCACAAGTATTGGTTCCTGAGTTTGTGGGAGAACCAGGACTTACAAATTTTTTGGAGCTACCTTTAAGGGCAGATTTTAAAGTACTTCTTTCGAGATTTATGGACAAGAGAGATTGATAAGGATTGTGTTTACAGTGGATGGAACTGGCTATTGGAGAGAAGATTATGGAGATCGAATGAAAAATTTAGATAAGAAGTTTAAGTTTAAGTACTTAGTTTAAGTATTTAGAAGACTATTGAGATTGCGGGAGAATTAAGATTTACAAATTTTTTGGAATTACCTTTAAGAGGTTTATGGATAAGAGAAGGAATGTGTTTACTGTGGAGGAATTTGTTATTGGTAAAGATTTAAACAGGTATAAGGGAATTTTAATGTTTTAAGTTATGTTTATGGGATCTACTATTATTATTATTTTTAAGAGAAGCTAATTTGTTTAATTAAACGTATTTAAATTTGTTTAGGATTTATATGTTTTTTAAGTTTTTTTTTTTGATAGGGGAGAAGATTATGGAGATTGAATGAAAATTCTAGATAAGAAGTTTAAATATAAGTATTTAGTTTAACTATTCAAAGAGTATCCAGTCTTAATGGTATAATGAATGTTTATATGCTTATTTTTGTGCTCTAGAGTAAAGAAAGAGGGAGATTAGATCTTACATTGTAGGTATGGATATTTAAAGAAAGTAATGTTTAAATTTGTGTTTTGGGGATTCTATATAGAATGATGGATAATAATATAAGTACAATACTAGAAAATGTTTAAAGTATATTATAATGTGTGTTTAATGTTTGCAACTATTATGTTGTAGAGAAGATAATTTGTTTAATTTAAGGTATTTAGATTTGTTTAGGATTTATATGTGTTTTAAGTTTTTTTCTATTTTTTATTTTCTTTGAAAATTTTAATTAAGCCTGTACTCAGCTCTGGGAAGGTTGAGGGAGGGTATGGGAGGTTTGGGGAAGGTGGGGGAGGGTATGGGAGGGTGGGGTTTGGGGAAGGGATTTGTTTTGTAAAATTTAAAAACTTTCAATAAAAAATAATAATAATAATAATATCTAATTAACCAGAATGGTGGCTAAATGTGTGTGGCAGGAGAAAGAGATTAATAGATATAATTTTAGTATTTTATGTATTAGAAGCAAAATAAAATTATGCAGCTATTTGTCTTTAAAATCTTTAGACTGCCAGAACTAATTTTTACCTGAGCAGCATTTACATGTTAGTGATCCATAGGATAGGGATTGATCAATTAAATATTTAATTCTCACTTGACCAGGTTTATATGGAATTCTCTTCAGAAAAGTTTACAGTTCCTGCCCAATTCTGTTTTGTATTTTTTGGGTGGTGAAATAGAAAGTATGCAGTATTAACTTTAAAGCTCAGTGTGGTTTAGAGGAAGCAGATTGAGAAAACACCTCTTTCTATTTGATTCCCAACACAACCTCCGTTCAATTGAGATTGTCTGAGAAGATTTGCCTACCTTTGTCACATGGGTGACCTGGAGTCAAGCTTTCTCTACATCTGCCCCAGTTCTTTGGAATGTAGTCACATCTGACTTTTGGTATAAGTTATCTGTGTGTGTGTTCTGTGTATGTAGCATTCAAATACTTTGCAACATGCATTAAAGCGCCATATTCATTTTCTATACCGTAATTCATTGTATCAGAATTCCTCACCTCTCGAATGTCTTGTGAATTCACATCTGGACGTTTCCATCCTGGTATGGCAAGACCCAACAACACTAACAATCCAAACACCAAGATCAACATTCCCAGAATGTTGGCAAACCAAGCCTCTGCAGGAAGCTTGGAATATGGTATTGTTGAATTTTTTCTAAGAAGATAGTCAAACAAAGTGTTTGGTGAAAACCAGTTAAACTCACATATTTCTGCAAAACTCCAAAAAGAAGGGAATGCTTTGAACGCATTAATAAACTTTGTGCTCGTCTCCTGTGGTCATCTGGGGCTTTTACCAGCTTTTTTTTTTTTTGTGCTATTGCAGGCTTCCAAATATTTACTGATTTCATAATAAGACCTAGGCATGCTTATGGTATTCATTTCCAACAGATCTCCACACATCAGTTTCACATCTTTGCTGGAAAAACTAAATATACAAAAGCTGGAAATATTTCCATACCAGCTTTCCAGATCCCAGGGTCACCAAGAGGTGTTAAATTTCTAAATATGGAAGGCACAAAATTGGAGGAAACTGATGTAGACATTTCAAGAAAAATACTTGCCACAGGGAACTCATTCCTAAGGGCATCCCTGTAGCTAGATTCTGAGTGCCTGATAAATCCTTAGGAACACTCCGCTTCATATCTAGAAGTATTTTTTGTTACTGTCAAAATACATAATTTCAGTCCAGATCAGGTTGGGTTTTGTTTCCTTTTTTTTCTAGATTGAAACCGATAAGCCAAATCATTAACTTTTTACAGAAATTGTTACCTCAGAATCAAAAGACAAAATACAAATACCCATTGCACTATGTTCTGATCAACCCATAACCAAATTTCATTACTCACAATTTCATGAATAACTTTTCATTAATGCCTGAGATGCAGGATGCAATAGCCAAACCAAGGATGATAGAACCAAAGAAAACATGGACAGGTTTGTAGAGGGCTCGGAACCAGATGGGCGTCCAAGGCAACAAAAAAGAAGCAAGCCCCATTAACCACTGGAAGGGAGAGACATAAATTAGACGTTTTACATTATAGTACCTGAATTGTACATGAACCTATACAAATTATTTGTACTTGATTAGCAATGCCAGTGTGGTAACTTAGCCAGCAGAAGTTCTTCCCCCCCCTTCATTTCTTTAAAAATAATTTTAAATCTTCAAGCACATAGGGGCACATTTGTAAAAATATGATTATTGTATGTGATTCCATCTCTCACAATGTAATATGTTTAAGTGGGCAACACACTGCATGTTTCTTTAGGCAATGTATGATTAATATGCATAATTCTTTGGTTTAATCTCAAAAGATTAAAAAAACCACTTGCCCAGTAGGAAAAAAGTAATCTGTTTATAGAATTAATTTCTGATGACAAGAAACTGAAGACACACAGGATATGTAAAAATGCTCTCAAATCTTTCTTCAGAAAAAGCTTAGCAGTATTTGATTATATATTAAAAGATAAGCTATTCACATCTCTGCCTAACTGACTATCCTTCAGAGTCCTAGAAACTGTCTTATACTAAACCAGAGCATTGATTTTTCTCACCCACCACTATCTACATTGACTAGCAATGAGTCTCTAGAGTTTCAGGCAGGATTTCTTAATCCTTTCTGAAAATCAGCTACAGTATTGGAGGCAGATTGTAATAAAAATAAAAGGTTGGGAGTTATTGTAAATATTGCTGATCTTGTTTGTTTCCAGCCTTTCATCTCTTCTCTGGGAAACTAGTGGGATATATACTTTTGACATAAATCAATCCATTGCTATGCTCTTACCTACCTGGCATGAAAAAAGTAGCACAGCAGAGAGCCCAAGCCAGCTGTGTAGAGAGTACATGTTGGGGATTTTCTGCACATTGTGAAACCTGAAGACAGCCTCCAATCCCAGAATGGCAAAAATAAATGCTGTCAGAGCAAGTGTTGCATGCAGCACCTTCCAAGGGAGCTTGGAACCCACTTGAGAAAAGGGCAAACGGTACACCAAGGCTGCTACAGGGAGAAAGGGGGGAAACCATCAGAGCCAGATGAAGCACTTCTCCCTATCTCCACTTATCCAGCAAAAGGAGAGGAAAAGGACAGAGAAATTGGATTTTTTTTTCCGCTTACCTGCACCATATAAGATCACCATGCCTGTCACCATGAGAACTGGGTGCCAATTAAACATCTTGTGAGAACCATCCCAGGCAAAGCCGCGAAGCCAGTGCTGACTCCAGTATATTGTAAGCCCCAAACACAAAATAGCCAGATTTCCCACAAGGATTGAATATGGGAGAAATGGAACTGTAGGCATCTCAGTGCTACTTGGAAGCACACCTGAGAAAAATAAAATAAAGGAACTGAACAAACAGTTCAGGTTATTGATAAGAAGTTAAATTCTAAATCTCCTCTGTTGGCTTTCTATTCTTCCTGCCCAATATTGCCTTCACCCAACTTCAAATGGCACTGGTTTCCGCTATACGGGACATGCACTTCAATTTTACTATTTTTATCATTATCACCCAAGGAGGAGGAGCTAGAGAGAAAGGGATAGAGAAAATATATTAATGTGTTTACTTGTTAAAATTCATCATTCAGAAAACAAAAGCTCTACAATGTCTTTGGACTGATTCAAGCTGATTATATTCTATCTGGGTGGCAATATGTACAAAGCTCAATCATTACCATCAGTTTAATTGATAAGATTATTGTCCTTTTTAAAGCCAGAAATGCTATGTACTCATATCACTAAATATAGTTTCTAGGGGAACTAATGAGTTTATTGTATCAATTTTATCATTACGTAGGAGCCAAAGCAAGCATGTACATAAGCGAGATCAGCACAGGGAGATAAGATTAATTTTATCATATCCAGCTTATCTAATGATGTTGCAGGCAAAAATAAAAGTGATTACAATCAAGCTACTTCAATAAAGAAAAGTTATCACATTTTTAAAATTAAATAGGCAAGATTCAAATATCAAGCTTCCCAAAAGAGAAGTCCCCAAAAGCCCTCTGTAGATATTGCACCTGCAACCACTGCTTCTTGAGAAAGGTAACACTTATGAGTTCACTTCTGCTTTTCAAGCAGAAGTTGAGGCTGAATAAATAGCAAAAAATGTCTATTAATAGTTCATGGTGATGACTGAAACTTCACTCTTCACAACGCACAAGTACCTTAATAGATGGAGAAAGGAAATGGATGTGCTTGCTCTTTTTGAATATTTTCTTTAAACATAGTACTTTCTCCAAATTGCCAGGCAACTTTTCAATACTTTTTCTAAAAATGGAGAGTTACAGTAAAATTTGTATTTATAATGTTTGCGATATCTATATACATATGCATACACCCAACCAAATGTAACACTGAAAACCTTAATCAGAATAAAAGCTATTTATATGTACCTTGTATGATGATGAATTTAGGTAGCAAATTCTAGTGCAGCCAAATTAATCTGGCTCTGCTCCTACACACATTCTAATTTATATTTATTGCCTCTATTCTCTTGATAGAATTATAAATTAATTGAATTGGAAGGAACCACAATAATTCTGTAGTCAGCCCTCTGCAACATGCAAAAATACAAACCAACTGTGAGAGGTGGCTGTCTAGCTTTTTTTGGGGGGGGGGGGAACCCCTCCAGAGTTGAGAATCTGAAACCATTATACTGTATGTAGATTGTTTCAGTGCCGTATAGATTTACTGTCAAGAATGTTTTCCAGTTTTTTTTTTAACAAAAATCTAAGTAGCTGCAACTCAATTCATTACTTCTGATTCTAGTTTCTTGGCAATAGAAGACTTATCAACCATATTCCAAATAAAATATTTCCATATACCTGTGGAGGGCATAGAGAATGGTCTTGAAAAAGTGAAAGGAGAGGACTACCAAGGCAATGGTCAAATTAGAGGGGATTGAGCCTGGACCAAGAAAATAATGTAAATAAACATCTCAAGACAGGAGCCTTCCTAGTTCATCCAAAGATAAAGTGAGGAAGAGGGAAGTAAATTTAGACTTACAAGGTTCTGTTAGTATAACTGTTACAATAAAAGTAGTCATGACCTATATGGCATTGGTTTCTCAGCCTGGTCTACCTTTTAAGACTGACAATACCTGAACATTTTTTTATATTCCTCCCATCTTCTCTTCTTTTGACAGATTTTCGCCAGATGTTTGGGGAGTTGAAACCTCCCATCCTGAAACCCTTTCATGGTTTTATAAGGTTTGGATTATTTGCTTCAATAAATCTTTATTTCAATTTATATGGCCACCCATCTCAACAAAACTAATACACACATAATGCATACAGCCATGGTTAAAAAACAACAACAACCACCAGCAAACAAATAATCACAATCATTGCACAGGCTTTGCCATATGTCCAGAACCCCAAGCTCAGTGTCACAAACATGTCTTTAAGGCAGTGGTTCTCAACCTGTGGGTCGGGACCCCATTTGGGGTCGAACGACCATTTCACGGGGGTCGCCAAACCACGTTGTCCGCCATTTTTTTCCCTTTTCCCTAGCTGACCTACTCCCTCTTATTGGTGGCCACACCCACTTGGGGGTCACCACAACATGGGGAACTGTATTATGGGGTCACGGCATTAGAAAGGTTGAGAACCACTGCTTTAAGGCCTTATGGAAAACCAGCAGGGTCAGGGCTAATCTGATTTCATGGGCAAGATTTCTTCTGACTGGTTTGCAGCATATATGTAAGCTATCCTTTGTTAGCTTTCCAGATACTGTCAATGCTCAGGCTGTTAACCATCCAATTGACCTATGGAAAGTTAATTTACAGCCAATTAAATTAATTATTAACTATATAATGCTATACCATGTCCCTTCTTGGACTGCTTGTTCCTCTAAAACAAGATATACTTATCAAGATCAGTGTTCCACTGATGGGATTCATTCCAATGTTTCTGTAATCCCTATTATACCATACTTGTCTTTCTGCCTCATGATCCAGATCATCTACTTTTTACCCATGCTTTGCCATTAGCATGGAGCAGACCTGCACAATTTGCAGCCTATCAAGCTGCTTTGTGCCAGCGTTTGTGGAAAAAGAGCCAATCCACTGCTGCCAAAGCTTCCACCAAGTTTTCTGCAGTCACTTCCACCCCAAAAGACACAGTGCAGGCCTTAAAGGCATTGCTAGTTGCATCACTGCCACTGTGCTGCCAGCTGTTCCTTTCTGGCCTGCAATTACTTTAAAGGTAATTAATCTGCCACTTTGACTTCCAAGAGTTCTGCAGGACTGGTTTAGGGGCATTTTAGATGATGAGATAGCTTCCTTGTGTTCAGTTTCTTTTTTCTTTATGCCTACCTTGCTTTTTAAAACTGGAAATTCCCAAATTATTTCACTTTGCTGCTATAAAGTATTCAGTCCGTTTACATGGCAATTCTTTACTCATCAGTGGTCTTACGATTTCCACTCACTCTAATTTAAAAGCCTCCTAGCCAGGTTAGCTCTCATCATTCAAAAATGTAGTTTCTCACTTTAACCAGATGAATTCTATCTCTAGACAACAGTACATTCACTTCAAACCTATATTGCTTGCATCAATGTTATTGCCAAGAGTTCTTCCCCCCACCTTCCTGGACTTTAGCCTTCAAAAATAATTTTTGATGATACCATCACCTGAAACCCAAGACCCTGTATACTTCGCCCAAAACTATGAAGTCACTCTCGATATGCTGGAGATATTGCCTTGCAGCATAATTTGTACCAAGGGATCTGTGATCAGCAGGTTATATGAACCCCATCAGTCTTCCCATCACATTTCATATTTGGACACCCAGAAGACATACATATCAAGATGAAAGATTTAGATGATAAAAGGAAGCTACAACGCCTCAGAAAGTAAGAGCTTCAATTACAGTCTTTCTTTTTTTCTCAATAACTTATGATAGATTGCTGTCACTTGGATCCAGTGACAGAGTTTCTGTTGTGCAGGTCTTTCATAGCTGACTTACATATGTAGGAATTTCTTTGAAGGTTAGAGGTTGAGATTGGATGCCAAAGTTTAGAGGATGAAAAGAGCTTTGTAGTTGTTTGTTCTGGTAGTTATTGTCAGCTGTTTTTATTTCCACCGTTTGTGTAAATTACATATTGTTCTCCTACTTGCAGCATTGACACTGCTATTCAATAAGTCCTCATTTGGGACCAATGTGGTGAAGGCATAGTATTCTGGCTTGCTATATATAAACTTCACTTTCAGAAGTTCTACAGAAAGATACACAAATGAAAACAATTTTGGCTTCTGAGAAAAAGAAAAACATGGTGCGTCTGTTGCAGGTGTCAACCAGAAATATAGTTTTGCCAAAATCCAATTCTTCTGAATGTCGTAACTTCTGCTCTCTTCTCAGAATCAACCAGGAATATGTAACTGTCCATAAAAGAAATGTTATTTTTAATTATCCGCATAGGTATACAAACTCATCAAAGCTCTATAGTTGGAAGTAGATGTGGAAAGAAAATACTACTACTACTACTACTACTACTACTACTACTACTACTACTACTACTAATAATAATAATAATAATAATAATAATAATAATAATAATAAAGTTGGAAGGGACCTTGGAGGTCATCTAGTCCAACCCCCTGCTCAGGCAGGAAACCCTATACCATTTCAGACAAATGGCTGTCCAGTCTCTTCTTAAAAACTTCCAGTGTTGGAGCATTCACACTTCTGGAGGCAGGTTGTTCCACTGGTTAATTGTTCTAACTGTCAGGAAGTTTCTCCTTAGTTCTAGGTTGCTTCTATCCTTGGTTAGTTTCCATCCGTTGCTTCTTGTCCTGCCTTCAGGCGCTTTGGAAAATAGCTTGACTCCTTCTTTGTGGCAGCCCCTGAGATATTGGAACACTGCTATCATGTCCCCCCTCGTCCTTCTCTTCATTAAACTAGACATACCCAATTCCAGCAGCCTTTCCTTATATGTTTTAGCCTCCAGTCCCCTAATCATCTTTGTTGCTCTTCTCTGTACTCTTTCTAGAGTCTCAACATCTTTTTTACATCGTGGTGACCAAAACTGGATGCAGTATTCCAAGTGTGGCCTTACCAAGGCATTGTAAAGTGGTATTAATACTTCATGTGATCTTGATTCTATCCCTCTGTTAATGCAGCCCAGCACTGTGTTGGCCTTTTTGGCAGCTGCAGCACACTGCTGGCTCATATTTAAGTGATTGTCCACTAGGACTCCGAGATCCCTCTCACAGTTGCTACTATTGAGCAAGGTACCCCCTATACTATACCTGTACATTTGGTTTTTCTTGCCTAAATGTAGAACCTTACTTTTTTCACCATTGAATTTCATTTTGTTAGATAGTGCCCAGTGTTCAAGTCTGTCCAGATCCTCCTGTATCCTAAGCCTGTCTTCTGGAGTGTTGGCTATTCCTGCCAGCTTGGTGTCGTCTGCAAATTTGATGATTTCCCCATCTATCCCCTCATCCAAATCGTTGATGATTTTGAAGAGCACTGGGCCCAGAACAGAGTCCTGGGGTATCCCACTACACACTTCCCTCAGGTAGATGTGGTTCCATTGAGGACCACACGCTGAGTACGGCCGGTCAGCCAGCTACGGATCCATCTGGTGGTGATGCTGTCTAACCCACATTTTTCTATCTTATCAAGTAGCAGGTTGTGATCTACTTTATCAAATGCCTTACTGAAGTTCAAGTAAATTAAAGCTGAAATGGACTGTACAAGTGAAGAAATCTAAGTGTTTTGTATCATAAATCTGTCCAGGTCAACAAAAAGAATGCTGCTTTGTAACAACAAAATTATCAGAAGTAAATAGTTCAGCTATTGTGTTTCTTTTTTTCTTTTTTCTTTTGTTCTTTGACCAATAGCAAAACAAGTAACACAAAAGGGTACAATTTCAAAGCTGTGCTTTATTAAAGAGCTACAAACTTTAGGTTGCTCCTGCTCTATATTGCTTGAGGGATTAATACCAATCTTACTGAATAAACAATAAAGTGCATCACCGTGTTACATTTTGAGAAAAATGCATAGCCATTTTTGAGATTAACTGGTCTAAAGAACATTAACTCTGTTGGCAAAAGATAAAATAATTACCCACACAAGAACATAGATTACCAATTGTATTAATAGTTTCTAATGATGCAAAGCGCGCAACAGCAGATCCATGAACTAACAAGTGTGCAGCACTCTCCTGGGGAAAATAAATGAACTTTGTCGATTCGCCAATCAAAACCACAAGAAGGCAGATACTGGCGAAAAAAGCAAAAGCAGAAGCAAAATCTTCTTGAGCAAAATACCAGTGGGAGAACATGCTATGCTCCTTTACAAGAATGAGTGTGTAGGTGACTTACAGTCACAATGATTGCCGATATTAAAGAATATCATTATTCCCTTCTTCAGTCCAATTACAACGAAAATGCACACCACTCTCAGACCTCGCTTCCGCCTAAGTCGCAGAGAGAGTCGGGAAAAGTAGTTCCAGTCCTCAACAGACCCTTCAATATGGTCTTCGCCGCTCATTGCAGACGAAGAACTTAAGCCCCTCTGTTCGCTCTTACGGTGGAAACCCCGCCCAATTAAGAGTTCCGGCTTCTCTGGGTGTCTGGGAAATGTAGTTTTCTTAGCCACACCTGCGGTTTGTAGCAAATCTTCTTTTTCTGGGAGATTTAAAAATTATCCCGCCGTAAGCGTCGTGCCGATTCCTGCAATTTTTCAATTGCCTGCCATGCACCACGTTTATGCAGACAAGGAGATAAATCGATGGAAATGTTTCTCATACACTAATTCAGTGTTTCCCAAACTTGACAATTTTAAGGCATGTGGACTTCAACTCCCAGAATTCCACAGCCAGCAACGCAGCAACGCTGGCTGTGGAATTCTGGGAGTTGAAGTCCTCATGCCTTAAAATTGTCAAGTTTGGGAAACACTGCACTAATTGAAAGTTTACAATCCCTAGAATGAATTATTAGCTGCCTCATTCATTAAGCGTGTACGTCCAGAAGCTGAGCTTCCACATTACAGAAGACATAACGTGGCTAGTTTCTTTGGCTATGTTGATCCGATAAAGTGAGCTGCGCTTCACAAATCTTTTAATAAAATTCATTAGTCGGAAAAGATGTTGAACCCAGTCACCATAATTTGTAAAATGGTGATTTGTAATAATAGTTTATAAATATGAAAGTGGTTTCTCACAGCCACCTTTAGAGTGCTGGAAGAGGCTTTAATATGTTTTTTTTAATTCCTTTTTTGTTGTTTTATTTAAACTACAACCCTGGAATTTTTTTCCAAGTATGTTTCACTGATTTCAATAGCCTTTCCACCCAGTAGGCATGTATAAAACATAAACCGAGCTAAAATTCAATGGGAACGCTAAATGACATTCCTATTCCATAGAGCCCATCGTTTTGCTTAACGATGAAGAAAGAGCGGGGAGCTCATGCTACTCCGTAATACCAGTAACACCTCCTCCTTAGGCCGCTTGAGGATCGAGGCGATGGTGCGGTCAGGAATCGTCCAACCAGTCCTGAACTTACTCCTCGGCCTCTAGGCATCCATGATCTCTGCGGCTCCGGCTGCACTTCCGGGCGTGCTGGCTCCGGCGCCTCCTCCGCGCCGCTAACTCTATCGCCATGGGGACCGATTGTGGCGGCGCAAAGTAATTGTCCTGCACCGTTTGCTCTTCTTCGGGGGCTGCCCCGGCGCAGTGGCTTCACTTCCTCCGGTTTCTCGTGACTTACACAACGCGGGGCTGTATTCAATCCCCGAGAAGGGAGCGCACTCGACTCCTATGAGAGATCGCGTAGCCTCCGGTTGAAGGGGACTTGTGTAACGCGGGTAAGTCCTGCACTTAGTGAAGTCCTGTATCTTAGAAGTGGGCGTTTCCCCTTTTCACTGATAAACCGAGGAGATAGTCAGCAGCCTCTCCCCCCCCACACCCAGCCCCCGTGGTCTCCTGTCCCAGGTCTAGAAATGCGGGTTGACTTATAGGCCGTGTTTTCGATGTCAAAAACAATGCAGTATTCTGTTCCGTACCAAGTATAAACATTATGTTGGCAATAAAAAAATCAGTAATGAAGAGCCAATTTGCTGTAGCTATTAAGATACCAGCCTAGAAACCGGGAGACCCTGAGTTTTAGTCCACGCTTAGTAGGGCTACCTTAGGTCAGTCTTTGCCCAAAAATCCTGCAGGGATTAGTCCAGGCAGTGACCGGAAGTCAACAATGACTCGAAGGCACCAAAATATATATATATATTTTCTTTAATTTAGCAAGAACTCCTTTTTTGCCCTTCTTCAAGGAATAGTGCTTGATCATTTTTCGTTATTAGGATTTGACCTAAACTGTATGCATCTAGCAGCAATTAATAAGATGTGTGTCTCTATTTTTCATTGTTACTTGTTTTTCCCTTCACTTTTCCATCCCAGCAAATCTATCTGGAGGAAGCTTGCCTCTTTCCTAACATGAGTAGAAGCTGGTTCTGCTGCCTGGAATGCAGATGCTGAGATCCCAGAATCTTAGGGAAGAAAGATGCTCCAGACTAGCAATTACAGCCTGGTGCTGTCTTTGCAATTCCTCCTCTTGTCCTATGATCTCTTTGTCAACTCCTTCTCAGAATTGCTTCGCATGGCTCCTGTCATCCAGCTTGTGCTTTTCATGTGAGTAGTAAAGACTTGTATATGCTTCTTAGTATGTTTTCTTTTCTTTACTTGGTTTTGTCATAACAGGAAAAAAGTGAAAGCAATGCCTGAGAGTTCTGTAGTTTTTAAAACTGTTTTCAAGACCAAAGTGGACCATGAAGGGAACTGTAGATATTTTTATAAGATTCTCTATGAGATATTCATAGAGAAATGTTTCAGTCTGTACCAGACTTTTTAATTAATCATATTTATATGGCCACCCATCTCACAAATGTGACTCTAGATCAGTGGTTCTCAACCTGTGGGTCGGGACCCCATTTGGGGTCGAACGACCATTTCACGGGGGTCGCCAAACAACGCAGTCCGCCATTTTTTCCCCTTTTCCTTAGCTGTGCTACTTCCTTTTATTCTATTGGCTTTTGAAAGCCAATAGAATAGATTCTCTTGAATAGAGTCTAATTCTATTGGCTTTCAAAAGCCAATAGGAATTGTCCAGGCTGTCTCTGCCCTGCTGAGCCTGCCAAAAGTCCCATTCTGCAAACGGTGCTGCACCAGTTGAGTAGTCCTCGACTTACGACCGGTTGAGTGGTCCTCAACTTACGACCGGTTGGGGGTCGCGGCATTAAAAAGGTTGAGAACCACTGCTCTAGATGGTTTACAATATTTTTTTTAAAAAAGCCATAAAAGCAAGCCGTTTGATCCCATATGCATAGGACTGCAGTTTTAGGCTAAGAAACAAAACACTTTGGTGTAGTGGCTAAAGGCACCAGGCTGGAAAATAGGTGACTGAGTTCTAGTCCCATCTTAAGCACGCAGTCAAGTAGTGATTTGGAGCTGCTGACTTTCTGTTATCCCTAGGAAGAAGGCAAGCCAACTTTAAAACTATTGCACAGAAAACTGCAACAACTTGTCCAGTTGTTCATTTGCCAGAAATCAAGACTTAACTCAGAGTCCCTCCCACAAACCACTTATCAAAGAATAATGTCTACTGGGTATATTATAATGAATATGAATATGAATGGGGTAAACATTCATAGAATTGTATTTTTAGTTTCTGCTCTTCCTGGCTTACTTTCATTCAGGAAAACATAGAGAAAGCCAGACAATAGTTGATTGATGTGAAGTAATAAACTAAAATAAAATAAAAATATTTTTAAAATCTAACATTGAATTGTACATATTACTGGTAACCTGTGCTGTTTTGAACAATATACTAAAACATTTCTATGTATATGATGTATTATTCAGATCATTGTGCTTAGGGAATAGCAGAGAAAAATGGAACTGATGGCAAACAGGGAGCTCAATGTGACTCTTATTTCCATGACAGTCTTTTAAACAAGAGCTTTGGGATCTCCTTTTCTTGTTATTAATGAAACAGTAATATCCCAGTGGAAAGATAGGCAAAAAAGATTTCAGCATCCCTGTTGCTGTGTTCTCTGCTTGTAAAAAGCAAGCCCATTTTTGTAGGATGTATGGGGCTATGTCAATCTCTGCTTCATTAAAAAAAAAAGGTCTTTTTTCTTACAGCATTCAAGATATTACCATCCTCTTCAATGTCATCGTCATCTTCCTCATGTTCTTCAACACCTTTGTTTTTCAAGCCGGCCTGGTTAATCTCCTGTTTCACAAATTTAAAGGAACTATTATCCTGTCAGCAGCATACCTTGCTTTGAGTATATCTTTTCACATATGGGTCATGGTAAGAAACAACTATGTTTGGCTCTTAAAGAGATTTATCTTGAATATTGAAATTAGATAAAATTTATACTGAAATCCATTGTGCTTAAGTAGATAAAATTTATACTGAAATCCATTGTGCTTAAGTAGTTTCTTTTCCCGTCATTGAATTCAATACACATCTGTTCAATATGTATCTGTTCAATACACATTACATTAAACCTATAATAATAATTTTCTTGGAGGAGTGCTGGCAAGAATGAGGGTGGGTAGAAGAATGTGATTTTCCATGTGAGCCTGTTAAAGGTAATATATGTTTTCCATTTGTGACTAACTTAGAAAATTTAAAAGGAAAAACAATTGGATACTATAAAAAGGAGTGCAATGGATAAAAATATGTAATACCTGAAATCTTTTGCAAAATACTGCTTGTAGATTTCCATGTCTATCTCTACAGTAGTATGATCTCCCTCAAACAAGCAGAGAACTTATTTCATCCCAGTTACTTCTGTACATAATCCATGCATGCATAATTTGTAGAACAGAAACTAATTGTAAGTTGGATTTGAGAATTTTCAAGTCTAAAAAATTAATTATATGATTTTATTACTATGTTAGATTATCCTTTCCTTTGTGGATCAGCAGAGACCAAGTGTGTACTAGTCATGTTATTGTTTTTGTTGTACAGTAAGCGTTAGGTTAGTATCCTCTCTCCAGTTGATCGATGACATAAGCTCTGATGTGGCATGTGTGACTAAGATGTAAGTTAAGATGCAAGTAGTTAAGTTTACATAATCCAGGAATTTTCCTTGTATTTTTTAAAAATGTAAAGTCTTAAGTTAGAAGAGACTTTACTGGTTTTTTTACACCATATACTTGGTTTCCTGAATTAATCCAGGTGGCTAGGTTTTTAAAACACACTGAACTTTAAACTAACCGCTCTATGTTTGCATGACACCATGTGCATTTTAGAGAAAAATGGACAAATTCTACCATTTTATTACTATTGATCATGTTGACATGTTTAGCTAGATCCAAGAGGACTTTCAACTGATCCTGCATAGCAAATTCTTATCTAATATACTTTTTTTTTTGACAGTTCAGTCTTTCAATTTCATCTCACATAGGTTCATACACATGAATTGGTCAGGTGTTTTCTAGTAATTTCAAATAAATAGAATTTTTATTCTTGATAGGTATAATTTATAATGGGGAATGTCTCTCACTTGCCATAGGTATTTATGTTGAATATGTGC